CGCCCGCGGCCGTTTCGTAACGCGGGGCTGCGCGAGCCCCCCGAGCCCCCCGCGGGCGCGGATTGGCCGCGCTGGCGGGCGGGGGCGGGGCCGCGGGCGCGGATTGGCCGGGGCGCGGGGGGGCCGCGGGCGCGGATTGGCCGGGGCGCGGGGGGGCCGCGGCGGTGCCCGGGGTGAAGGTGAGCTGGAGGGCGGGACGGGAGGAGCCATTTTGTGCCGCCGCCTCCGGCGCCGCTTTCCTCGCCTCGGCTCGGTTTCGGTGCCGAGCTGTTCCCTGCGGGAGCGGCTGCACCGCCCTGCGATGGAGCCGTGGCGGCTCCCGCGGCCTCGCTGCCCGGCCGTGCCGGGGCTGGGCGGGGGCGGGTCCGTTCTGCCGCTTTCCCCGCCGCGTTCTCGCTCGCTCGGGCGGCCGGGCCGCGCTCCAGCCCGGCGGGCGCTGCCCGGTGTCGGATGTGCTGGCATCTGGCTGAACCCCCGAGCCTGGGAACGCTGTGGCCGGGGCTCAGGCTCGGGTTTGGTTTAGCAAAAGCTGAATCACGTGCAAGAACGACAGCGAAGCCAAAGGGGAAGGATTGGGATTTTTTTCACCGTTTCTTCCCCATATAAATCCTATGCAGTGCTTTTTTCTCTCCTTTTTTCCCCACTTAAGTTGTATTTTACTCCTCTGAGGGACATTTTCGTTCACAAAACAATACATAAAGGGTTCTGCAGTTTCAAGGTGTCCCTTTTCAGTGCTTGTTTTTGTGTTGTTTTACTAATAATCATGACTCTCATGTCTAAATCAGTTCCTGTTTTTTGCTGGGTGACTTTTGAGGGCACTTAAAGCTTTTTTGTGTGTGTGTCACTAGCTTGGATTACTACTGAATTTTGAAATCCTTTCTTTTTTAAAATCAAGATAGTGTCCTACATTAGAATAAAAAGCTTCTGCAGTCTAGCTAGCTCTTATCATGTCAATCAGTTCGAGCACTGTGAATTCTTGTTTACTAGTTAATCGTTATTCTTAAAGGCTTTGTCTTAGACATTCAAACCCTCCATATCTGCTGTAAAGCAAGAATTTTTATTTTTTTTTTAGTTCTTTAAAGTCAACAACTTTTTGATCTTTTTCATGTCACAAGGAAAAATGAAGGAAAACGAAATGCTGTGTTTGTTTTTCTGTCAGAGGAAAAGGTTATGTCCTTTTTCCCCACCCCCTGTTCCTTTCCAAACAAGAAGAGCACGTGCTGTGGTGCTGCAGGGGGGGTTTGTTCTCTCTGGTGAGCGCACACCTGAGGTGCAGCCTTATCTCTTATCTCCAACCACAGAACGCCCGGAACCGGCCAAACCTCAGCTGCAGTTCCCAGACCTTGGAATGAAAACACCGTTCCCTTAGCTGGGTTTCGTTTTTGGGGTGTGCTCGGGTTACTCCTTGTCTGCGGGGGTGCTGCTGTTCACGGCCCAGCAGGTGACAGCACACGGGACCTGTGTGGTGCTGCAGCCTCTGCCTTCCCCAGCCCCTTCCCAGCGCCTCCTCCTCTCCCCTCACAGGTGGTCAGCGCTCCGGCCACGCCAGGTCCTGGCAGCGGTGGGCACGGACTGGACATCACCTCCTGTCACCTCCCCTGGCAGCCACACACGCCCAGCAGAGCCTCAGGTACTCGGAAACTGCACCCCGAGGGTGAGCTCTGGGGCTCAGCACACCTGGGGACAAGGTGGCACTGGAGGGCTCTGGAGCTCAGCACACCTGGGGACAGGGTGGCACTGGAGGGCTCTGGAGCTCAGCACACCTGGGGACAGGGTGGCACTGGAGGGCTCTGGGGCTCAGTACACCTGGGGACAGGGTGGCACTGAAGGGCTCTGGGGCTCAGCACACCTGGGGACAAGGTGATGCTGAAGGGCCTTGCCCCAGAGCTCAGGGACACACAGGTCACAGAAACCCAGCTGCTGGCACAGCTGTGGGTGAAGGCAGAGAGGTAGCACACACCAGGGTGTTGTGGTAGAGGAAGGAAGAGTTTAGTGCAACATGGAAGTATTTTGCATAAATGGATTTACGATAGACGATGTCAGGGCAAAACATTTTATAGACTTCTACCAGCCTCTGCATTGGCTTGTAGGGTATTTCTGAGGAACAGCTGGTGTAGACAAGCTTACAGATGGCGTAGGTGAAGGAAATAGAGGAATCTGAACTCATGGTGAACTCTTTACTCAGAAATATGTGTGTGTAACATCCATGTCAGAGCCATGTCTGTGTTTGGAAAGCATTTTTAAAACTTGCTGTTTGGAAGTGTGATCTGTTTTTCCTTTCCAGTATTTCAAATGGGCAGACTCTGAATGCTTAAGATCTATTCTTGTTGACCCTTACTCAGACAAGCAGTCCTGTAGACTTTGTATTATTTTTTTCTCTTTGATCAAATAATTCCCAGTACTTCTCTTCGGGGAAAAAAATATTTTTCTTTTGCTTTGTTTAAACTTACTGAAGAGATCTGAGTGTTAAATTCTCTGAATAAGTGGTGTTTTACAGTGCAGGGTCTGTTGGCAGGTGAGGGATATAGGTAGCTCTGCATTCAGGGAAGGTGCAGGCAGGTCTGTCCTGCTGTGTTTCCCCCCTTTGCACAATACCCAACTCAGCCTCAGGCACAGATCCCCCTCTGCCTTTGCCACTTCGGCAGCTGGAAGGTGACATTTTAAAACTGCCAGTGCAAGATTTGCAGGAAGGCAACACGTATATGTGATAGAGCTGAGCATGTGACACTGTTACTGATAGGCTTGTGAAATTGTTTTGCTGAGGCAAACCTGCAGAAGTAATTAACTGGACAGAAATTGAAGGAAAGTACATTTCAAAACAGTATGTTCTGCAATGAAGTGGAGTTCTTTTTCCTTTTTAGTATCTTCTTTGTGAATTTACTATATTTATCCCCTTATTTTTTACTCTGTGGATTTTTTTTAAATTCTCACATTTCCTTAAACCATTAGGACATTTTAAAAAAAATTGCTGACCACTAATTTTGTGATGTTCCAAGCATAAAGAAGACGTTGCTTCCTTCAGTCAGCAGTTGTAACCCAGAACACCTTTTTCTGGTTATTAATGATTGCATAATACAGTGCTGTCTTCTCACATAATGAGAAAGATACCATCTTGAAGAATTTTTACTTAGTTGCTGTGTTTTGCCCTTTAATGCAACGTCAGGGTCTTGCTTCTCATTTCAGGCTAACTTTCTTTGGAAAAGATCCATTAGGTTTTGTGAAATTCATCTGATTTAAATCTGCAATGCTGAAATTCAGCCTTTAGTGTTTATATTGTTATGTTTCCTTTTGCTGCTGCTGCTGTTTCTGCCCACTTTCTCATGCTAGTAAGCAGGTAGTTGCAGATGAAATTCAGTGTAAGGGGTAGGATTTTGGCAGCAGAGCTGGTGAGGTGCTGGTTGTTGGTGTTGTTTTATATCGGGCCTGTGTCATTCCAGGGTGAAGTGCTTGTGCAATGCATGGGATGGAATGTCATCTACAGATCAGATTGTCCATTTGTGCCTTGTTAGTCTCTCTGAAGCAATCAGTTATTAGATAGGCTCATTCCAACTGTGTTTTTCAGGCATCAGAGTGACAACTTGGTCCTATTTTAAGTCAAATTAAAACTAAATATTTTGTAGGGTAAATGAGCCCCAGACCAAGAATCTACCTTGTAAATTTGTGTAAAAAAAATTTTATTTGGAACATGATAGTTTCAGAAGCTCTTTTCTCAATGAGAGAAGATACAGCCTGCATTCTTTCCTTGCTGTTTGTTCGGATGGTGCCCTTTTAAAGGTGCTGCGTAAAACAGCTGTTTAAAAAAAGCACATTCATTTTGTTCTATATTAAGTGATGACGTGGCCAGTCTGGGACTGGGTAATTGCAGCTCTGAGGATGGGAGCTCATCAGGAAATGAAGTTGCCGTGAGGAGTTGGTGTTTCCTGACTCTGCATTCAGGGAAACTGAATAAAACCTTGGGAGGCATGAAAAAAATTTCCATAAGCTTCAAAATATTTCAACTTTTGGCCTTTTAGACATACCAATAAATACTACAAGCATTTGGAATTGTACCAATCCCGGGCCTGAGAAAGTGCTTTGCCAGCCCCTTGCTACCTCAGTATGCCTTGGAGTGCATTCATCCAGGTCATTTTTAAGCTCAGGAGAGGCAAAGAGCCCTGCTGTGGTAGATTAGTTGCTCCCACTACCTTTAACATGCACTATTTGCAAAGTCAGCTGCATTTTCTTCACCTACACACTCTAATATTAGCATATGCAAATGTCTGAGTATTTGATTTTTGCAATTTCAGTGCTCTGATAATGTGTGTGTTTGCACGCTGGGAGGAACCTTTACATTTGTACTTGAAACTGGAAGGTGTTCAAGCAAAAACTTCTGCTAGTTATTATTTGCCAGTAGTGCTTTGGAAACAGAAAATCTCCCTGTCTTCAGCAAGTTGCCCTTTGTTCATATTTCCAGTAGTTTTACACAATAAAAATGTAGTTCATCTTTCATTCTGTTTTGTGTGCTAGCAGTTTACATTGTTTTTAATTGAATCATAGATTATCAGTGAACCAATTTTTAGAAGTTAGGAATGAATGGTAAAAATTTACAGTCAAGGTTACTTGCTGAGATCACAGAAAACAGATAAATAACAGATCATTATTTAACACCAGCGTTTTAAGACTTGACTATGACAGATTTTATAATGAAAATTGAGTGGTCACTCAAATTTTTGCTTTTAAAATTTCAGTCTTCTCCCTCCACCCCCCTTTTTGACTAGTGCTGTTGTATTAGTACTTTGAAGGCTCCAGCTGAAATGAGGATCACATTGAAAAAAGGAAAAAGTTCAAGTTCTGGATCACTATCCAGGAAATCTTTGGCTTCTGTTGACCAGATGATTTGCTGGAGCCGAGGTCTTGAGACTTTTTTATCTTGCACACTAATGCAGTACCAGTGATGCTGTAACAATCAGAAATTGCCACCCACGGCAGCTGTTTTCTGGGTATATTTTGCATTTAACACTTGGCAGTGCTGCACTGCCCTGGGCAAGGTGCACACTAATTAGCCCCGTGCCACCTCCAAGAAAGGTCAACAATTCACCAATTCTTAGAGTGAGAAAACAAGTATCTTGTCTAACTCCTGCGGTGCAGCTAAGTGTGTGCCAGACTGAATACTGAAGTATTTTAAGTTTTAAAGTTTTTTAACTTTTAATTCTTGAAGTTTTAATCTTTCAGACTGTCACACTGAGAAGGAGAACCTCTGCGAGTTTTTCTCAATGACTCTATAGCCAACTGATGTAACAATGGTACTCATATTGGGACGCAGACTGAATAGAGAGGATAGCGGGATACGAGAGTCCCCTGCAACCAAGCGGAAAGTTTTTGAAATGGACCCAAAATCGTTGTCAGGCCCTGAGTTTTTTGACTTCTCCTCGGGATCATCCCACGCAGAAAGCATTCTCCAGATCTTCAATGAATTCCGAGACAGCCGGCTCTTCACTGATGTCATCATCTGCGTGGAGGGCCGGGAGTTCCCGTGCCACCGCGCCGTGCTCTCGGCCTGCAGCAGCTACTTCAGAGCCATGTTCTGCAACGACCACAGGGAGAGCAGGGAGATGCTGGTGGAGATCAACGGCATTTTTGCCGAAGCCATGGATTGCTTTCTGCAGTACGTGTACACGGGCAAGGTGAAAATCACGACGGAGAACGTGCAGTATCTGTTTGAAACGTCGAGTCTGTTCCAGATCAGCGTTCTGCGCGACGCCTGCGCCAAGTTCCTGGAGGAGCAGCTGGATCCTTGCAATTGCCTGGGCATCCAGCGCTTCGCAGACACGCACTCGCTCAAGACGCTCTTCACCAAGTGCAGGAACTTCGCGCTGCAGACCTTTGAGGACGTGTCCCAGCACGAAGAGTTCCTGGAGCTGGGGAAGGACGAGCTCATTGATTACATTTGCAGCGACGAGCTGGTGATCAGTAAGGAGGAGATGGTGTTCGAGGCCGTGATGCGCTGGGTGTACCGCGCCGTCGACCTGCGCCGGCCCGTGCTCCACGAGCTCCTGACACACGTCAGGCTCCCTCTCCTGCACCCCAACTACTTTGTTCAGACTGTAGAAGTGGACCAGCTGATTCAGAATTCCCCAGAGTGCTATCAGCTGCTGCACGAAGCCAGGCGATACCACATTCTTGGAAACGAGATGATGTCTCCCAGAACTAGGCCACGCAGGTGAGGAAATTCTTTTAACCTTTTTTTCTGCAGAAGAACATCATTTGATGTACAGATTTCATTTGGTGTTTGATATATGCATGCCTGGAGAAGAATCTCTTGCAGATTATTTTACTTTGCTAAATTCTGGAGCTGCTGCAGTTATGCTTCTGTACTTCTCCACATGTGTGAAGCTCCTGTGTCTCTTGAGAATGTGCATAAATGAGTCTTTTTGCACGGAGCATTTTATTGCTCGGAAAAAAGGTAAGTGAAGTTATATTACGTTACAAGTAAAGTACTTTCTTAAGGGTAATGTTTGCTGGGGAGATCTTAAGGTGCTTCATATAATAGCAGTTCCTTGAAGAGACCTCACTGTGCTGTGGCAGGTAAACCACTTCATTTCCTCAGCTTTCTTTTTGTAACAAAATGTAAATGTACAGCACACCACAAAGGATGTGGATGAGGATATTATGTATTCAGAGCATTTCCTTGCTACATCACAAATATTTTACAAATGGAGTAGCACATGTATTTGTAATAGAAAGCAGAACAACAGGTTCTTAACTGTAAAGAAACCAAATACTGTATTTTTAAAGAATCATGAAACAGTTCCTGAAGTATTTTGTGTTCATTCGGTGACATTTTAATAATTCAGAATTGCTGCTGCTTAATAATGTGTTACACAAATAGGTGACTGAGGTTGCAGGAAGAAATGAGGAAGAATCTATTAGTGGCATTTATGAGCAATGGCTATTATGATTCTTTTTTTCCTGAAAAATATTTTCCCAGCCTTATGCCAGTGATAGTAGAGACTATAGATTATGGTTAACTCCAGCTGATTTGAGTAGTTTTTTATGAAATCATATGTTACATTAAGGTGATGCAGTGATGGTCTAGACAAACAGGTTGTGTTAGGAGTTACTCCTCTTTGTTTACTCTTACTCATATGTGGTTACTGTACAGCGACCATGCAGGGAACCTTTATTTTTTGGCAGGTGTTAAAGCCTTGCTTAAGGGGAAGAAAACACTTGGCAGTGTTTGTCCCATTAGTGGCTTTCCAGTCTTCAGCTCTGCCGTGACAGAAGAAACTCATCTTCAAGTCCCTGCAGCCCTGCTCCCACCCAGGCTTTCTAAGCTCTGCACTGCCCTGGGGAGTCTTTGCAAGCCTTTGGATCATGACAGTTTGGGAATTTGCTGCTGTGATCATTTCTGGGAGGGAGGAACCATGGGAATTCAGACAGTTGGAGGGGTCTGCAAGTTCCAGTATTTGGTTTGGTGTTTGTTCTGCTTTTCTCACTCAGTTGGCTAAGGAAGGCAAATACACTCAGAAATTTTGTCAGTGTGTGGTGTGTATGTGCTTGAGAATCTGGACATCCCCAGAGTGGGGCTCCAGTTTGCAGGTGAAGTACCTTTCCTAATACAGGTAATTTCTGAGCCGTGAGGCTTGTTGGTTTTGCTGCTGAGTATATTAAACTGCAAGTGGGAGTTTGAGTAGGCAGGAACAAGAGAAGTCATTTACAGAGAGAAAAACTGGCTGGCGTCCCAGCAGGAATTTTTTCCCCTTTTCTATATTACATTCATGGAGTAGTTCTTTGTCATTTGTTTCTGTTGTCTGTTTGTTTCTGTTGCCTATAGCAAAAAGATTGTTTTAAAATAGTTGCCAGGTCCCCCTTCCCCCACGTTTTCATTGCACCTTTTCTGGGCATTTTGGGGGGCTTTGGGGCTGGGAGGGCAATGAAGAGCTCGTCTCCTTTTTTTCTTGCCTTCCTCCAATGTCTTTTCTATATAAACTGTTTGTAAAAGGAGACAGGCTACAGGATAAACAATTCCCACACGAGTGCTTTTACTGAAACGTTAGGAAATAAATTGTGATTGGTTGTATGGAATTGGATGCATCTCTGGGTGAAACGGGTTCTACTTGTTTTTTCAAAGAACAGACTACATTGCAGTTTACAAGTTGATTTTTTTTTTTTTTTTTCTTTTTGAAGCCAGTGAAGAGTTATTTGAAGTAAATAAAAGTTTAAAGCGTGGCATAACTGTTCTCTTTGCCACTAAGGCATCGTTGGCAAATGCAGGTCTTTCTGGGAGAGCCTTTCAGTTATGGACTCGCAATGGCACAGTGACATCTTGAGGCTGCCCCTCCTGCTCCCTGCGAGCCTCTTCTGTCCCTCCTGCTTGTGTTGCACACCAAATCTCCAAGCTGAGACCAAGCAGTGAGCAGTAGCACACTTCCATATCCAAAACTGCAGGGGCTCTTCCTGCTGTGTGCTCTGACTTATCTTCAGACTTTCATCAAAGCTGCTGTTAAGCTGTCTGGTAACAATACATCAGGGTGTTCCTTAACCGGAAGTTAGGATGTTTATACATTTTAACGTGTCCTTTTTGGTTGCCTTTGGGAAGCTTTAATGTAGTCCTTTATTTTTCTCACTTGGAGATGGATTTCTATTTCACTTTACATTTTGTCTGCTCCCTCATTTAATACCCAAAATTGATTTAACAGCAACAAAGAAAAAAGTAGTGATTTACCAGAATTTCTGTAGTTTGTTTGAAATTCTGAACTACCTCAGGTTGTTCTGTCCAGCTCGTGCTGTGCTGGTTGGTGTTTTCACCTCATCAAGAGGTGTGTGTGGAGCTCAGGACCCCTGGAAAGCCTGCCCTTGGGAATGCATGGAATTGTATGACACTGTTGATTGTCTTCCACTCCCTCTTTTCTACTTAGTGCACCTGTTCTTGGTGGGATAGTGTTTCCTGGAATCTTCACAGCCTCTTTTAACACCTCTGTTATTTTGGTCATATTGTTCCTTCTGAGGGCTACAAGAAGAGCTTCCTGTACCACTGGTTGAGGTCACAGCTTTTTCTAACCTTCATTTAAATATATCCTTAGCTCTTTTCTGGAATTAGCCTTTGCCTGGATGTTCTTTTTTTGTATTCCTGCCACATTTTACTTTTTTTAAAAATGAGTGTGCGTTCTGTCATTTGGAAAAAAAAAATGGAACTAACCATAAAACTTGCACAGTGGAAGACTGTTCAAGAAAATATAATGGAGAAAAATTTTCATGCCTGAAGAAAGAATATTGTCATATAGGTACTAAAATATTAGGAAACTTTTTGTTCTTTCTGAAGTACTGTGCGAAATGAATATTTTCTTGAAAAACTCCATTATAGCAATGCATAAAGAGCTCTCTCTGAGCAAAGTTTTTTGGTTCATTTAGTTTTAAACCAAAGTTTGATAATCTGTCACAGTCATCTTTTCAGTGTGTGAATGGAGGCCTTAATTCTCATCTGGAAAGTAATGCACAGACAAACCTCTTTGTGCACAGTTAGCTGGTGTCTTTGGGCTTGCTTCTAAGGCAGATTATGAAATGAGTGTCTTGCTTTTATGGAAGTTCATTTCCTGGGTAATGCTTTGTTGGCACAGGAACTTCCCCCTCCTTACCCTTTGAGAGATTCTTTTCAGAGTTGTTCCTCAAAAAAGCAAAAAGCAGTAAGGAGTAAATACATAGAAACCAGGAAGGAGCATGACTTCAAAGCTGAGCAACTGCCAAGAGTTTCTTCTGACTGGTTCAGGTGTGTAAATGCCATTCCTCAGACACCTCTCCTTGATCTCATCCTGCAGGATGTTAGCATGTAGCACTGCCTTTGGCTGTTCACAATATTCTGCATAGAAACATCTATGGAATACTTCAGTTTGATGTGTGGTGGCAAGGAGATAGAATGGCTCACTAGTTTGATTCATGATGTTTTAAAACAAAGAAAGCCTCATCAGGATTTAGAAGTGAATATGTGCAGTTCATGTTAGGAACTTTAGGGACAGATTATGCAACTTTTACCTCAAATCCAGTCATAAGTCCTTTTTTCTTTATTTTTGAGAGAAGACTGCAGTATTCAGCAATGGCATGAATGTCTGTTCTATGAGATGCCTATTCACAGGGGGATCATAGTACAAAGCATAACACAACAAAAAGGCTCATCAAAAATAAAATCAGTTTTGCTTAACTGACAGCAGTTCTTGAAATAACTGTGTTGTGCAAAGTGCTTTAAAATGTCCTGAAAAGAAAGGAGTTTGACAAATGCTGACAAGAAATTACAAGTCTGAGAGGAGGAATAAAGGTGGTCACAGTTTGATTTGCACATCAGAGATAGTTGGTTGATTATCTGTATTCAAATGTGCATTAATTTTTATTAGATAAGTTTTGTCACTGCTGTGAGCACAGAATATGTGTAATGCAGAAGTATCTGGTTAGTAGAAGGATAATCAGTGTGTGGAATAGAACTTAAAGGTCTATTTGGGTACTTTTCAGACTTCCTAATGCCTGATTTATTCCCACTGAGTTTTAGTTCTTGGTTTTAAGTTTGAATTTTTATTTCAATATTCTTTAATGTTTCCTCGTGTAACTGCTGTTTACTGTTTTACTGTGCATTGGCTCTAATTTTTGATTTTCCTTATTTTAGTGACTACATTCCTTCTGCTTTTAAACACTTGGAATATTTAGGCACTATTAAGTATTATTAATTTTGTAAAGCTCAGGAAAGGGATTGAAGATTGATTTCATTGTGAAACAGATTGTTCATATCGTTGTCTCCAGCCTGGCTTGAACTCTGTTTCTGATCTGTGTGTACAGTCAAAGGCAAAATACAGTACGGGCTTTCTATGTTTTTTAATTACATGGTTTTTACATAGAAGATTGTGCAGTGCCACTCCAACACTTACACAAGACTCCTGTCAGTGTGGTAACCTGCTATATTATGAGACAGCTGGAAACAGTGAAAACCTGTTTGTGAAATGACTCTTTCTTCTGTTTTCTTTTTTTCACTGTTTTTTAAGTTAAAGCTAAATAGTATTTTTTTAAATTATTTTCACAGAGTTTTGAAGACAGTGTTGTTTGGCTTCCATGTACTAATAAATATCTCCTACATCTTAATTTTCTGTGTTCACTTTTTTAGATCAACTGGTTATTCTGAGGTGATAGTTGTTGTTGGAGGCTGTGAACGAGTTGGAGGCTTTAATTTGCCATACACGGAGTGCTATGATCCTGTGACAGGAGAGTGGAAGTCACTGGCTAAACTTCCAGAGTTTACCAAGTCTGAGTATGCGGTGTGTGCTCTGCGGAATGATATTCTTGTTTCAGGTGAATAATCTTTAAAAATTAAGAGTCCTTTCATTGCTTGGTTGGTTTTTGTTGTGTCCTGTTTGTGGGGTGTGTTTGTTTTGGTTTGCTTTTTAAGTAGTGGGGCAGATCTTTGTACTGTGAACTTCCAGAAGCTCAGCTGAAAGTCACTTTGCTGCTGTGAGCACCAGCTCCAGCACAGTCTTACTGTAAACAGAAGTGTTTTCTGGAGTTCTTGTTTGGCATGAATCTGCAGTTTTTTACAGCTCATTCCAGGTCATCAATTGTATTTAAAGAGACCAGTTAACGCCTGCTTTGAAATACAGCAGGAGCCTGTGTGCAGCAACAGCTGGGAAAACTACAGACAAAAAAATCCTAAGCAGGCTTTTCCCAGCAGCACATTCAGTCCTTCAGCAAAGGAAAATTATGGGGTGCAGCTAATGGTTTAGACAGCAGGCTCTCTGTGTTGGTTTAACCAAAGCGAAGTCTCCTCAGGTGTGTGTGCCTGTGTCGTTTGAACAAAGTGTGAAACCAAGGAGAGGCTCACAGAGGAGGGATGGGAGGGGTGTGCCATGGGCAGGGGATTTCGAGGGTCTCATCTGGGTAGTGACACTACAGGAAATGTGAAGAGCTTGTGCAATAGCCATTAAAATGCATTCCAACTTCAAGAAATAATCTAGTGTGATCTCAGCATTATGGGAAAGGAAAGCATGAGGGAAAACAACTTAATGTGTGATTTAATCTTTGAAATCCACTGCAAATTACTTTTTCAGTGTAATGTATAAATACTGGTAGATCCTTATTACATCCCCAAAGGGGATATAAAGTTTTCATTGCCCACTCTAGAGGGGCATGTTAATAGTTAGCATTACCTGTTCAATAATTTTTCAAACTGCCATATGTTTCATTTTAAAGGTGGAAGAATCAATAGCCGAGATGTCTGGATCTATAACTCTCAACTTAACATTTGGATCAGAGTTGCCTCCTTAAATAAAGGCAGATGGAGACATAAGATGGCTGTTCTTCTGGGCAAAGTAAGAGAAGTATATTTTAATTTTTTTTATAGTGGGAATGTTTGCTGTATATAAAAAAACAGTGGAGAAAATACTTACATATTACTTGGTATTTCATATCAAATAATTTTAAAAATACGTCTTTTCAAATAAAATACTTTAAACAATTAGGCTCTTCATCAGTCAGACACGACCCACAGACATGAAAATCATCTCACTGCTCATTTATTTTTTGGGGTTTTGTTTTTTCATCACTGAAGTGGCTCATTTCCAAGAAGCAGTTTTTTGGGAAGCAAAGAAGCATCTGGATTTGCCTGTGCTTCAAAAGTGCTAACAGTTTATGTAATTATTAACAGAAACTGATACTACTCTGACTATCGGCAGTTCTATTTAATGTTTTATATTTAAATTAAGCAAACACATGGAGTGTGGAAATGTTTGCTATGTTTTAAAGGCAAATATGCCTGAACATAAAACCACTAGTTGGGACTCGCTTAGTGAAAGTTAGGAAAGATGTGCATGTGGTGTCACTGGATCTTCTTAGAGATGAAATGTGCAGCTAAGCAAGCAGAGGGAAGAAGGTAATCACAAATAATGAGGAGCTCTGCTTCCTAAAGATGAAAGAAGAGACAAGAAAGTAATGTTTACAAATGGAGAGGAGGAAATACTTCAGTCAGCAAGTAGGGAAAAAGCAACATGCCAAAAAAAAAAGCAAAGGTAAACTCAGATGGGCATTTGCTGCTGCTGCTGTTGTTGCTGAATGTTATCTAAAAAAAGAGAAATACAGAGGAATGCCTTTTCTAACAAATTCTATTCAAATTAGAAGTTTCTACTGCAGTATTAATAATACTATGCTGTGGCATGTGTTTGCAGTGTCATTCCACATGTGACTGAATGGAACTCTCCAGGGAGTCTTTACCTGTTATTTTTAAACCATATTCTTCTCCTCCTGTGCACAAATAAAAAATGTATCCCTTGACAAACCTAGCAAATCAGGTTTAAATTAATTTAATTTGATCTTTAACTGTAATACCTACTGTAACCACGAAGTCACGGTAGCTGTTACCTCTGTGTGCAGGTGTACGTGGTGGGAGGATACGACGGGCAGAACCGGCTGAGCAGTGTGGAGTGCTACGACTCCTTCTCCAACCGCTGGACTGAGGTGGCTCCCCTGAAGGAGGCTGTGAGCTCCCCAGCTGTCACCAGCTGTGTTGGCAAGCTCTTTGTCATTGGGGGTGGCCCTGATGACAACACCTGTTCTGACAAGGTCAGTTTGCTCTGTTGGGTTCGTCTTCTATCCGCAGCAAACTGGATTGATGTTTTAAAACCAGGTCCTGCAGGAGATCTGCGTGAACTGGTTGTTGCTGGATCAAGTGTGGAGTTTTTCTGATAGAAAAAATACAGAGTAGAAAATGTTAATTGAGTGATACACTGTTACTGTGGTCTTTCTCATGGATACATTGCTTCACTGGCTTCACAAGTTCTGTGAGTTCTTAAATGGGAGTGTTTGGAAAACGCTGTCAAATATTGTGCATGTGCATACATTATTGATACATGGATCTGCATTTACCTTGGCTCTGGTTTTTTGGGGTAGGCACTGCTGCTTTGTGTCTCCTTGTGTAAGCTGTGTGGGCATGCCAGGCTGTTCCTTCAGTTGGGCTTTCAATCTGAAAGGGCTGTCTTTGTTTCCAGGTTCAGTCATACGATCCTGATACTAATTCCTGGTTGCTCCGTGCCACCATCCCCATTGCCAAGAGGTGCATCACGGCTGTGTCCCTGAACAACCTGATCTACGTTGCTGGTGGACTCACCAAAGCCATTTACTGCTATGACCCCATTGAGGACTACTGGATGCATGTACAGAATACATTCAGCAGACAGGTAATTACCAATCAAAAAGCCCATAGACAGCTGAAAGGTACTTTTTGACATTGTTATCTTGGCATTAAATAAGTATACATTTGTTTAACCCTGATAGAATTGCATCTCTGATTCCATTCTTGCTTTAGCTCTTCATCTATGTAACTCAAAACCTCACAGAAGAGGAAGTTTCTAAAGCTAAAGCAGTAGCTTTTCAGCTGGGTGTCACTGTTAGGCAGTCCAGGCTTTGCTTGAGAGCTGTTACTGTTGAAGAACAGTATAGTGGATGGTGATTTCATTGTATAGAAATTACCTTCTGTTGCTTGTTTTTATTTAGACTGAAAGGAGCAATTTCCTTGTAATTGAGTAAAGCCTTTCAGTGTGACAGGAAATACTGAAGGCTGTTTTTACAGTGTGAAAAAGCCCCACTGTATAGCCCAGAAAGTGTCTGACTTGAGCAGTGAGAGCTCTGTCATTTCCACACGTGGGACACTGAGCAGGATTTGAACGTGTCCCCTCAATAGTGAAGTATGTGTGCAGCAGTTGCATTTCCCCATCTTTTAAATAAACCAATCACATGCCCTATAGTACTACCTTAAGAGAAATTTGTTCTTTTTTTCCCAGCCTTCCCTATGTTCCTCTCTTTTAGTCTGAGTTCTCTATTTAACTGAGTATTTTTTCCATGCCTGCTTTTGAGGAAGAAATAAAATCCTGTCTCTGTTTCAAGTAAGACATAGCACTGTCTTTTCTTGTGCACTCTTTTTAGTTGTGTCTTTTTTCCTCTCCCCATTTAAATCCCTCTTCATTACATGTTACTCCTCTAAGGTGCTTCTCCTTGTTCCCATTCTTTGCATTAATAGTACCCACTGTGGTCCTTCCTCTGAAAACCTCTGTTCTCTCCTCCTTTCCCTATCTCAGATCTTTCCATGGTAAGTACAGTGTTCAGTTGTATTCAGTTGATCCCTTTGTCTGAGCTACATGTAATAAAGGCTTAGACCTGAAATAGTCTTTTCTGTAGGCTTGTGCTGCTGCTTTCCCAAATTTTTGTGCTTTCTGCACTGGCCCTTTCAGGAGGGAAGGTAATAGGCCAGGCTGTTTACAAAAGGCAGTCAAAGTGCTGCCCTCCTGCACTGGAACAGACACATGAATCAAGTCTTGCTTTTTGAATAACCATGTATTCCCTTGTGTTTTCTTGCAACAGGAGAATTGTGGCATGTCTGTGTGTAATGGAAAGATCTATATCCTTGGTGGAAGACGGGAGAATGGTGAAGCCACAGACACTATTCTTTGTTATGACCCTGCAACGGGCATTATCACAGGAGTAGCAGCCATGCCCAGGCCAGTATCGTATCATGGCTGTGTGACCATTCATAGATATAATGAAAAAGGCTTTAAACTGTAATTTATTTTTTTCTTGAAAAAAGAAGAATGAATCCAGTGGTCTGCTGCAAGACAGGCTTTTTAAAGATTCCTGAAGTGGGAATTCCCTGCCTAAGTGTCGTATGAAAATGATATCCTGTGCCTTTAGAAAAAGGGTTAATTTAACTTACCAAACAAGTCTACAAACCTATCCAGTAACCAGAGTTCAGTTATATCTGCTGTGGGCTCTGATATGAGAGCAGGACCTTGCACAGTGATCAGAAAGTTTACCCTATGTGTGATTAGTAATTAAAATCTTGAAAGCTTTTTGGGGAAAGTGCCTTCAGCATTTGTGCCTGTGTCTTTAAAAGCAATATTTTCAAGGTTTCTGGTTCTGCTTATAGGAAAAATGCATATGCAAGTAAATCCCAAAGAATCATCTAGAATAATTATCTATAATTTATAAAGCTCAATTATAATTCATATGCATCATTCTTACAAGCAGATTACTTGGCTTAACCAAGTAGGATTTTTTGTCAGATCATGCATGGGTCAGAATGTAAAAAGAAAACCCCACAAAAAAACCAAACCACCTACAAAACAAGCTACATTGGACAAAACAAGAATCTTTGAGGAATGCTTTCTTCTGAAGGAGCAACTGGTTATTTGGTGAGCCACTACAATGCACTGTGATGATTGTGTACCTTAACCCTGTGGAACTTATTCATAGTGTTGATAAATGTCCAGAAAAGTACAAGGCTACATGACATGGAAAACCAGTGGGTTCAGGCATGCATCTGTGAGGTAAAGTTTGAATCACAGTTTTTACCTTTCTGAATAGCATGGCTGAAGGCTGAAAGTTACTGGGTTCACTCTTTACTCACTGCAGTGTCTAAACTATTTAAGAAATAAAAGGATGTTGAATTCTGGATTCTCCCAGTTTTCTGAATTACATTATAAATTACCTGATGATAGAGGTGGGGACTTTGACTTTGTACCCTACAGCTTATAAATTGGTCTTTTGCATATCTCATCTGCAGAGATGACAGAGTATCCAGTAAGTATTTCTTGGCCACAGATAAAGAAGTCTGGAAAGGTCCCTCCTTTCACCAGAAAAATATCTGTAGACCTGTCCATGTAGCCATATGATGTGTTTTAGATGATTTTGAAGCCTAGGAAGCACCTGTATTTTGATATACCATCATTATTGGGTTTTTCAGTAAAGGTATTTTTTAAAATCCTCCCTAGATTTCTGTACCAGGACTCCTTATTTCCAGTACACAGTTGTACAGTTGAGGCACAAAGTTCATAAAAACTGAAATAGCACTTGGGAGTTGGAAAATTAATACAATTGTCAGTGTACCAATTTCCTGTAAATCACCAAAAACCTCAGAACTGCCTTTCAAAGGAATTCTGAGGACAGCAGCCAGTAGGGAAGTTGGTCAGTGCCAGGGCAGAAAAAAACCCATAAAACTCCTGCAGAGCCAAGCCCTGGCCTCAGGGTTCTGGTCTATGTGCCTGCTCAGGAGGGTGAAAACAAGCACCATCTCTGGAACATTGTTTGTTCCACTGCACTTTCCTCATCTGTTTTCCCAGAGTATTTCTTCATGAGATGGAAATTCTGACCCTCAGTGAAGTTATGCCAAACGGAGTCACCATTTTCAGTAACATGGTCATGAGTTTTAAAGAGCACTGGGAGCTGCACTTTTGAGATGCATTAACTTGTAACCTCAGGAAAGGACACAGATTTCGGTTTCTGGCTGAATACCAAACACTGCTTTGGATACAGTAAGAATACTGATAAAATATAGATCATTGCATATCAGTGATGTAATCAGGAGGTCAGTCTCCGAGCATGTACATTCACATTGACCTAAAAAGAAAATCCCTTGGTAATATAAAGCAAATGAATCAGATAAATTAATCCTTTTCTAAGTTTCATCTGTTTCTGCTCACAAGTTTTACTTTGAAATGGCAATTTCAGTACCTGTGAATAAGGTCTGTTGATTGCAATGGCAATTGCCCTGTAAGTGATTTTATGTACTAACAGTGTATATAGCTTGTGCCATCATTGTAAATGAAAATGTCAAAGACTATAGGAGCACTTCATTAGAGATGCAATTTGAAAAATATCCTCCTTTTCTTTGATTTCCTCTTGTTTGTATTCAGACTTGTAATGTTGTCATGCTATACTGTTTTTAAACAGTACTTATTCTGTAGGTGTAGAACAGTGTCATTTAATCTGTTTATAATACTGCACTACTCTGTAAATAACAAGATACTGCTTTCCATGGTTTTGAAGATTCATTTTATAGTTTAGTTGTCTTTTCTTAACAGTTTATGTCCTGTTACTGTTACCTGTTTTTGAAAATGACAGTGTTTAATGAACCAGTAAATGCAGAAATGTAGATGCAGAAAACCTCTGCTTACAGTTCTTGAGAACCTGTATCAAAGCTGAACAGTTACAGGTGTGGAGCACTGCTAAATGGCAGTTACTTATGCAATGATTTCTTTAAAACAGGCAGTGAGTTTTTCTTCTTGCTTGTTTACTCTGTAAATAATTTGCACTTATGGCCTGCTCTGTTACAACAGTTATTTTCAGATGTACTAGAAAAGAACAATTTGACCTTGATTTAATGAAAACGTACCATTTTTCTAGAAGGATGCAGTAATTTGGAAGTTGTATTCCTGAGCCACTTGTTCTCCAATGCATTTCACTTAGGTATAGATGGATTCAAAGATTTAACCTCTCACTCTTGTGCATATCTAGTTGCTTGCACTTTATGGGCTTGAGCAGCACACTGGTTTTAGTTTTTTGCTTTGTCTCAGCTAGGAGAGAAAATTATTAATGTCATCTACTATAATCAAAATATTTCCATCATAAATGGTAGTAGGTTTGGTAGCTCTAGAGCACCTGCACAAAGACGTAAATTCAGTCCAACCATACATATGAGGGCTCAAGCATCTCCAAGTCACACCTGAAAAACAAATTCTAAGAATTGTCTTCACTCTGCTAAACAGAAATGAGCAAATATTTTTCTTCTCTATTTTGATGTTCACTTCTGTTCTTATCAGTATGATGTTAATTGAAAAGACAGTTGATGCTTTGTTGCAGTCAGGCTTCTGGAAGGTTCTGAATCACATACTGATCACTGCAGCACATGCAGCCTCTAGGCCTTGGCTTGTGGCTGAAGCATTCCCCTTTTACAGCCATCAGCCACAGAACATTGCCTGGTAATCATGTAGTTGTGCCTGTAGACTCCCTCCTTTGGAGTGGTTAAGTAGACATAATTTGTGGAATCTCTTCCATGTTATACTGTGTGTCTGATATGCATTTGGGGGATTGGGCACTGTGCTTTCCCCTCCAGCACCAAGGGGTCCAGATTATACTGTTTTTTCTTTTGACTGGCACCAATGCAGCTGTCATCCAAGATAGCTTTGTTTGTACTCTGTTGAAGCAGAGATTTTAATGCAGATTATGTTGATGTGGACCCTAATTTACTGAAGCTTTTTAAATAGTATTTTTAACATGGCAAAGTTTTGAGAGAGGCAGATGATGGAGAAAGAGGAAATGCTCACCTGGGCAGAGATTCAGAGGAAGCTCTGGTCACTTGTGCTTGAGAGCAAGGATACTACTGCCTGCTCAGTTTCTTCCTCGAAGTAGTTGAGTTCACCTCATTATCTTAGGTAAACACTTAGTTTGTCCTGTTTTTCTGTGACTTGCTGCAAGGACAGAACAAGAAGCAGGCCCACTCACTGTGACTTGATGTTTCCCCCTGCCCGAGGCACAGGGGAGGTGCGGGTCAGCAGAACCCGAGCTGAGTCCAGCTCCAGAAAGCAGAGACAGGAGAAATGCATTGGAGCATCCAGCCTCAGAGATGGCAGGAGCAGACCTTGTGTGTTTGGGGGTTGTAGTTTGGCTGGGCTTGCTGAAACCAAGGTGTTCAGGATGCTCATAAGTTTGCAATTCCAGATGCTGAAACTCAGGTGCTGAAAATGTTTCACATTTGTCAATTCACTCAACTCAGCTGGAGCAATAAAGATGCAGATATGCTCATGGTGCGCTAGTGGCAATGCTCAGGAAAGCCAGGGGTTCATTTTTCTGAATTGCCCAAATAGACAAGTAGCTGTGGGGTTCTTTTTTACCACTGAAGATGGGAAAACTCAATTCAAAAGCATTAAGAATCTCACAAGACTTGATTACAATGAGGCACAACAAATATTTTCATCTGAATGTAGTCTCATGTACACAAGAAATTGCTAATGAAATTACTTGTTGTGCCTGGTTAAAAAATTGAGCACTATATAGTCAGAAAAGGAGCCTAGAGGGTAAGATGACATTTCTGAGCAGAAACCTGATATCTGGTTGGGGGCCAAGTAGTGCTTTGGGTTTGGTAAAATATGTTTAGCACACAAGTTCTCAGTATGGAATTATTTCAGATGGCATTAATTAAAATGGATCATGACTTGCCACAAAGCAGCAGCCTCCCACCAAGCCCAAACCAGCTGTGACTCTGTGTTCTCTGCTCGCTGCCTTTGTGTCACACACAAGTTCATGATAACGCTACTGTCTAAGAACTGTAAGCTATTTGCAGGAATATTTCTTTTTTTCTACTGTAGAGATCCAGTCTATGCTGATATTTTATGTATGCACATCTGTATGTGAATTATTTTGTGGTCATTCTCTGATAGTGCTGTTACAAGTGATGCACATAACAGCCCTGTGTACAACTTGTTAATAGTGTAATTAGGGCTTCGTTTGTATGATTAGCTCCAAAGAAAATAATGTGCATTAATTTCGAAAATACCTGTGCCTTGAATTCACCTATATTTTTATCTATTGTGAAAAAGAGCTTGGATTACTCCTTCCAGTTTGTTACCTTTATTATGATTGGTCTTACTGTCCAGACTGTTACTATCCTCCTAGGAGAAATAAATCTTGCCATTCATTAATTTGAACAGTTAATCTTCTTGTTTAGAACATGCCTAGAATGCTTCCATTATTACAGTACTATGGCAGATTTAATCTAGGGAAATCAGTATTTGTTTTTTTCTGTTTCTTTGTTTCCAGCACACCTCAGTGACAAAGGACTGAGTTTAGTCTTTGACTTCCTGTCCTTAATATGCAATTTCTTATATTAGTCAGTAGCCTCTGTGATATTTCTGAACTCTCTGAAGTCATCAACCTTTTGTTCAAGATACAAAATATGAAGCAATAATGTGGTGCAGCATGGCAATAAGCAAACCAAGAGACTTGAATGTAATGTACTGTTACTAATTTCATCTGTGTAAATGCTGGACCTATGAGTCATTCTCCTTTTGGTGCACCTGTAGCACTTTGGAGTTGGATTAATAGGAACTACTTGGCCATGGAAAGAGAGTTTACCTCCTGAACTGTTACTCATATTTTCGCCTGAAATCATATTTTGATTTTCCTTTTTTTGCTGAGGAAAACAGCAGTTCTTGTTATTCCTTGCCAGTTCCTTTATTTACTGAAACATAAAAGCTGTAGTTCCATGGAGAGCTGATCTTGCCCTCAAGAACAGCCTGGTGCAGCACAAATGACATGTGAACAGGAAAGCTCAGACCACTTACTGTGTGCCAGAGTCAATGTAACGGATCTCACAAATAACATAAAGGTCTTCAGATTGTGCTGACAGTAGAAAAGTGATTTTGTAATGTAGCACAATTGCAATAACACCTGTTATATTTAAATATACTTCTTGCATAATTCTTTGAAAGTTTTTTAAAGTTCATTGTATCTAATAAACATTTGCCTTTTGAATAGTTCACTGGTTTTTTTTAGTTTATGAGAAGTTCCAGGGTGAGGCTTGGTGGTACAAGGAGGAAACTCCCTCCTGGTTTTTTTTGGGTCATGTAACTTGTTGGATTCTGCCCCTTGTGCAGTCTTTCTCCTTTGATCTGCCTGCCTCCCAGTCTAGGTGTTTTCCTGCTCATCTTTCTGCCCTACCAAGGGGAACGAAGGCAAGCTGGATGCTGCACAGAAGAATAAACTTTAAAGAATAAGAGTAAACTTGAGAGAAAACTGGAAAAAGTAAAAAGCAGGGGGTGGGATGTAAAATATTGGTTAGTCCTGGGTATTGTGATGACAAGAGAATGTGAATGGACTCAGAAGGCAAAACAGCATAGGAAATTAGGAAAAGGTAACCAAACATTAGGAAGGTGACTGGCAAAACGTGGGTTGGAAAGAATCCTGTAAGTCCATTCTCCTAAAATAATTAGAGGCTCGGCCATCTCAAGATCCCACACAGCTCTGTAGCGTGGCCAGCTCAGGCACAGCCACAGAGTGGCTCTTGCTGCCGTGCCAAAAGCAACTTCAGTCAAGTTCAGTGCTTGCAAAGCTCAGCTTACTGCAGAAAGAAGTAATCTGGGAAAAAAAAAAAAAAAGGAATCCCCACAGACTGCAAAGCAATGGAAATATTTGTGAGAGCTGGAAAGCCCACCTTAAGATATTTTAAGTCAAACACAGTCAACTAGTGGCAGTATTCTAACAACAGCTTCTTCCTCTTTCTATTAAGCAGAAACAAAGAATAAAATAGAACTATACTACAGTCATTCCTGGTGAGCAGGATACGAATCTGAGTTTAAGAACAGTCTCCATTGATCTGCCATATTTCACATCTGTTGCTTGGCAGAAAGAAAGGATAGTAGCGATGCTGATAGCCCTTAATGTCCTCTTTTCTTATCCTAAGCTTTGAACATTTAGCATACACTTCCTAATTAGTGGCCTCATAAATAAGTTTGCAAATCCACGAGTGAACAGGAAGTTAATTTGTGCTGGTTCAGGGCTTACTGCATGAAGCATGAGACTGCCATAGACCATAGCATTGTGCCATTAGCTGCATCTGACAGAGGTATTGCAGCCTGGCCAGAAGCAAACACAAACCATGGCATTAACTGCACATTGATGAGCATTAAGTATGTTATAAGGGTTTTTTGAAACATTATCTAAGGGTAGGCCAGGGCTCCCATCCTGGCCCATTCTGTGATCTCCTGCTATCTTGCACCTCAATCAGCCCAGGACTCCTTCCCTGGAGTCCTTTTCTTTTGCTAATCACAGAATCCATTAGGCTGAAAAGACCTGAGATGAGTCCAACCTATGACTGAACATCACCATGACAACTAGACCACAGCACTAAGTGCTACATTCATTTTTTCTTTAAATACCTCCAGGGAAGGTGACTCCACCAGGGCAGCCCATTACAACGTCTAATCACCCTTTCTGTGAAGAATTCCTTCCTAATGTCCAACCTACCGTCCCCTGGCGCAGCTTAAGCTTATCTCCTCCCATCCTGTCCCTTTTTTCCCGGGATCAGGGCCCGACCCCCACCTCCTCACAACCTCGTAGAGAGTCACAAGTTCCCCCCTGAGCCCCCTTTTCTCCAGGATAAACACCCCCCGCTCCCTCAGCTGCTCCTCCTCACACTTCTGCTCCAGCCCCTTCCCAAACTCTACTGCCACTCTCTGGACACACTGCAGCACCTCGAAATATCTTCCATATTAAAAAGTCTTCCTAAGATATTTTTACACGCTAAAACACGGTTGTTCCAAGCAGCAAATCAGGCTCAAATCACTGCATTCGTCTCCGTACAGGAACCTGACGGCGTTGCCCGTCTCGGTTTCTCCGCTGCCTCGGGCGGGAGCCCGCTCTGCCCACAGCCTGCGCTCGCCGCGGCTGGGCTGGGGTTCCAGGGCCCCCCGGCCCCGGCTCGGCCGCTCCGCCCTGAGGGAGCCGGAGCCCCCGCCCCGCCGTGCGGGCCCCGCGGGCCGTGAGGCGGCACCTGCCCGCCCCGCCCCGCCCCCCGCGCGCTGCCCGCCTGCGCGGGCCCGCCCCGGCCGTGACGGGCGGCGCTCGGCCCTGCGCTCATGGCGGCGGCGGCGGCGGGACGGCCCGGCAGGGGCCGGCGCTGAGCGCCCCGGGCGGCGCGGCGAGCGGGGCGGCCGGTGCAGGCGGCGGGGCGGGGCCGGGCCGAGCCGGGCTGGGCTTGGCGGCGGAGCGCGGTGAGCGGCGGGGTGGGCGGAGCGCGGGGAAGGAGCGCGGCGGCGGCTTTGTGTGCGCGGCGGGGGAGGGGAGCGGCGCCGCCGCACGTGGGACCGGCCGCGGGCAGCGCTCCGCCCTCCGCGCCCGGGGCGGCACCGACACCGGCACCGGCAGCGCCGACACCGCCCCCCGCCACCTCCGCGCCTCCTCACGCCTGTGCGGGACTCGCTGCCCCCTCACGGCAGGGTCGTGGCTTGGGGGGACTCGTGCCCCCTCACGGCAGGGTCGTGGTTCGGGCTGAGCGCTGCTAGGCGAGGGACGGCCGGTGTGTGACCCCGCGGCCGGTGTGTGACCCCGCGGCCGGGAGCCCCGGGCTGGTGCCGAGACACTTGGGCCCGTCCGCCCGCCCCACGCGCCTTGGGTGCCCCGCGTTCCCCCTTCCACGGGCGGTGGTGCCGTGTGTGGAGAGAGCCCCGCTCTCCTGGGGTCACCCGCCTGACCACGGGTGGTTCCCGAGCGTCACTCACAGGGCTCTTTGCCGGGGGCATGGGGGTTCTGCACTCTGTGGGCACTCAGGCTCTGCTGAGCCACAGGCGTCGGGAGGCATTTGAAGCTCCTGGGCTGTGTAGAACAGAACCAGCTCCCGGCTGTAAACCTGTGCCGTGATCACTACCCCCCACTAGAGAGGTGCATCTGATCTTTTGGGGGGCGCATCTCGGGCCACCCCATGGTAAGAGGTTGAAGCCTGGACAGAAGGTCACTGTGGGAAACGTTAATGTTTTTGTTTTTCCTCTCAGTGGAGTAGAGATCATGTCTGGGATCAAGAGAGTGATCGCAGAGAAGGACCCCGACTATGAGGAGATCACCATCACACATCCCAACAAGCGGCACAAAGCAGCCGAGCAGTCAGGTAGGAGCTGTGGAATCAGAAATTCTGTGAGTGTGCATGCTGTCTGTAAACTGGTCAGCAAAAGGCTGGGGTAGGAGTTAAGGGGCAAAGAACAGATGTTGAGCAAGGCAGGTAATGATACCTCTATAGCCAAATGAAATGCATCTTATGTGAACTGATCCCTATCTGCTATCTGGACCATAAGAAAAGCATGAGGATGGAGCCTTTGATGCATGATAGGAGATGGAGTACAAGCTGTCCACGGCTCCAGCACTTTGGTTTCTGTTGCTTCCTAAAGTATTTACAGTCCATCTTTCCCTGCTGAGTTGTGCTAGCTTGTGCATTTGTTCCGGGGCTGAAGTCTGCTTGGGAAAGATTGGCAGGTTGTTTACATTTTGGGGGATAGAGATCACAGTACAGCATGGGGAGGAGAAAAAGAATCCATGACCCTGCAGGGTGAAAGAGATGTACAATTCTGCAGTACATGCACTGGCTGTTGGAAGGTGACAGATGTTTGCAAGAGCTGGCAGATGAAGCAGGAAGGAGCTGCTTTGATGAAGTAGAAAGGATAATTTAGGAAGAAGGAAGGGGCTTTGAAACATGCAAGAGAGGAGGAAGAGGAGCACGACTGAAGGAAAGGTGGATGAAGAAGTGTAGTGGAGCAAGTAGCTGAATGAGTAGGTTTGCATTTGGCAGGCTTGGATGTGCTTGCTTTGGGAACCAGCCTGTTGGCAGAGTGCCTGGGACAGGTTGCAGTCTCTCTGGGCAAATGAGAGTAGAGCTGCTTGCCCCGGGGACAGGGAGTAGGCTAGTGGTTTTGGCATAGCACAGCTAGTGAGAGAGGATCATGATGGGAAGAGCTGACAAACAGGGAGGTGAGAAATCTGAGGCTGGCTGTGGGCTCTGAAAAAGATCCAGGAATAGAGCCGGAGCTGCCAGTTGGAGAGGGACAGAGGATGGCTTTGTGGGGGATGTTTTGGAGGATGCTGTACAGCTGGACAAGCCTGAGGAGACTGGACTCTGGGTTGAATGTGTTGCTGGGCAGGTCCTGTGTGCCACGTGGGGCAGGGGCCCTGCCAGTGGAGGCCCTATGCAGCTGTGCTGGAGCTGGCCATGTCACCACTCCCAGCTGCCTGCCCTGCCTGGCTTCCAGAAGTCACCACCCTCTGTTCTGGCTTGTCCCAGGAACTGCAGGCAGGTTTTTAATCTGCTTCTGAAGCAGCCTTTCTGAAGGTGTTGATGATGAGCAGGCAGAGTCTCAGGACCCTGGAAAGCTGTCCTTGCCAAAGTGAACTTTGCTTTCAGGAGGTTCCTCCAAATTGGCTGCTTTCTTCTTTTCATGGAAGATCTCCAGCTTTCAATACTAGAATTCCTTAAGCACACAAATTTCACTAGCATAATCTTAATGAGGGACTGTGGTTGACACTAAGATGGGAAAGATGAATATGAAATGTTCTTAAAAGCCTCTGTAATATAACCACAAATTCTGAAGTGCTTAAATCATCGTGATGCTGCCATGGCATGGCATCAGCCTTGTAAAGAGATGCAGTTGTCCCTCTCTGAACCATACCTCTCGTGCCTTCATCTGTTCAGGTTTATTTTAAGTGTATAGCCTTACATGAGAATTTCCTCATCATGATGTTCATGGAGGCAAATTATATCCCTCTGGTTTTAAATTTTGCTTTGCTCATACAGATTCAACCATAATTGTGTTTTAATGTAGGTTTGAACTATTTCTGGTCCTAAGGAAAAAAAATATATATATATACATATATATGCCTATGTGTGTATATGTATGTGAAAAGAAGAAAAATTATTTAGGATTCCCCTGTGGCATATAGAGGCATCAGTTGCTTCACTCCTGTTGTAGGTGCCTGATCAGATAGTAAAATTATCTATGCTGTCTGGAAGATGTCAGCAAAGCTTTGACTTGCTTTTCTTTCCCTTCTCTATGGTGATAGTAGAGACCTCTTCAAACAGATATGTATTTTTTAGGAAGACATACACTTCCTCTGAAACTCAAGCCAAAGTCTTGGTGCTGTTGTCTCCTATTTCATGTAGAAACAATGTGAGATTCTTCCAGGGGAAAATGAGACTCTTCTGTGATCTGCTTTATAGTGGGGTCACTCTATTACTGACACAGGCTGGAGCACCTTTTCCAGGCTTTCTTCTAGAAGTGTAACTTCTGCTTTGCTGGGTTCTGACTTAGAATTTGCTAAAAACGGAAGTTGTTTGAAACCCTTTGATATAATGGAAGTGACTTAAATGAAGGGTGATATTGAAGTCTACAGTAGGTGTAGACCAAAAAGAATAGTTCTTCCTATGTTTATACATGTCCTAGAAAAATATAGTAATATGCCAATTCCATTTTTAGCCACTAATTTGCTGTAAGGTATTTGCACAGTTTGAAATCCTAAACTACATACTTTCCACCAAGGTCAGTAAACTCCTGCTGAAAGGCTGAATTTTTTTGACTGCTATGCTGGAAGAGGATTTTTTAAGAGGTGGACCAGCTTTTGATAATGTAGTTTCCTTTGTGAATAATGAACAGCTTGTAGGCACACCAGAGCAGGCTGCATTTCATGCCAGGGCTGTATAAATATGAGTTTGCTTTATTCTTGCTGCGTGAGGTGGTGTAAATTTCCTGGATGTGGATCTGGCCAAGGAGAGCAGAAGAATGTCTGTGGTGTTCCAGCTCACTCCAGCACATTTGCAGCAGTGACTGTGCTGGGCCAGCACCGTGGAGTTTTCCTTTGACTGTTTACAGCTTTACTGAGGCAGAAGTAAACAAACTGGCCCTGTTCTTCCCGTTTTCTGTTATTTGTCATCTCAGACCTAAAAAGGGAAAAATAGCTCTCCACATAAGCTGGCTTTTAAAGATACATGTGTTTTTTGTTAAGACAACTTTTTTTTGGAGGAAAATGATCCATCCCTTTATGTGTTTGTGTGTGTGCTGAACTCACTATCCCTTCACTTCTCATTCTGTAGTGATTTCTCATCTTTCTGTTTTCAAATGGAGCCTCAAAAACAAATGTAAATACTTTCTCCTTCTTTATTTTCCATATGTGGCCTTGTACAGCTCGAGATGTTACGGTGCAGAAGATTGAGACCATTATAAAGGAACAGTTTGCCGTCGAAATGAAGAGTAAAGAACATGAAATTGAAGTTATAGATCAGGTATAAAGGTTTTGTTCTGATAAACACCTTGGTGTTTGGGATGTTGGGGATTGCTGCAGTGCTTATCCTCACTCTGTGTTTCCTTTCTGCAGCGCCTGATTGAAGCCAGGAGGATGATGGACAAGCTGCGTGCCTGCATTGTGGCTAACTATTATGCCTCTGCTGGTCTCCTCAAAGCTGGAGAGGTAAAAGCTACTTTGGGAATAACAAGACTTGAGGGAATCTTTGCAAAAGGAAGGTGTGGAGTTCAGTGGCTGTTCAGCTGACGTTTGGTGTTAAGATGTGATTTAATGAAATAGTGGAATACAAACTGCAAGTGGGGTGGCAGTGGGAGAGGAGACCTTTGCATCATCTGCTGGGCCTCAGGTACTCAGCAAAGAGGAGTCTTCAAGAAGCAGTTGCAAAGTTGTTCAGCAGCCCCTGGTTCTGGTTTCTGAAATCCTCTGCTTTTTTTTTTTTTCATCCTCAGTTTTTCTCTGAGAGTACCTTATTTCTCAGACATTGCACAGTTTGTCCTTGCAGAGCCTTGAAAAGTGTGGAATATGTTTTCCCATTTCACAGGAGGAGAGTGGTAGCAGATGCGTTTGGGGATTTTTCAGGAAAAGAGAAAAATAATAAAGGTTTCAAGATTTTTTGAGTCTCGAGCAGTGCTGTGAAACCATCTTCCCTTTGCCCTGGCAGTCTGTCTGTTAATGGGTTGGTGAACAGACTGATGGCATCAGTAAAGCAGGAAATAAATCAAGGGGATATCACAGGGTGATTAAAAATTCACAAGATTAAAAAACCTCAAACCCTGTTAGTTAAACCCCAGTTCTGAGCACTCTGCCCTTAATGACTGCTAATTGCAGGATGTTCATAACTCGTGCAGATTCCCAATAGCATGTAGTTCATTACCAGTGTAGGCATTTTGTTACCATCTTTTCAGTTCAAGTTGATCTGATTTCCAGTGATTTTTGGAAACTGTAGATGGGTGCTGCAAACATGGCTTTCAGTCTAGTCCCATAAGAATTTCTCTTCCAAGCACTTGCTCTCACTACTACTCCTGGTTTTCCTACTGTGCTTTTCAGAGGACTTGGAGTGAGGTAAAAACAAAAAAGGTTCAGGTTGTTTTTCCCTCTCTGAACTTGAGTTGAGCAACTGGAGTTGGAAAAGGCTGTGGCAGCCTTGGGAAGCTTGGAGATCTCTCTGCCCCCTTCGATTTTTGTGTAGGCAGCTGAAGAATGTGACCTAAGTTCTAATCTTTGTAAGTGCCTTTATCCATTGTCATCATGTGTCTGCAGAAGCTGTACTGTTCCTTGTTCTTGTTCTGCCATGCAGGGTGTTTACTTTTTTCCTGGTGATTTTCACACTTCCCAGAAATAATGTATTTTGTGATTGTTTTGAGATCTTCACAAAACTTATTGGTGCCTCCTTGCTTTATTTGGTTTTCCAGTATGAGTTTATGGCTAATCTAGTTGATTGCATTTTTAATTTTTTTTCTAAAAGTCCTGATTTACACACAGATTAAATCAGTTTTTCCTTTATTTTGAAATTGTTGCTGATTTCAGTTTTCTTTGTTGTCTGTTTTTAATTGTGGCTCATGTATGTTTGACCAGACAGTGAAAGTTTGTCTTGTTTCTGCTTCTGGTAGAATAGGAGTCTTCGTAGTTAAATTCAGAACTTCTGGGAAGATGATTTGCAAGTTCCTGACCTGTTCTCATAAATATAAACAGTTCTCAAACCCAATGCTGCTGAGTTTTGAGGCTTGGGATTCCTCATGATTGTGCTTTATTATGTTTTCCCACAAATTATTGGACAAAATGTTGGTCATTTTACTTGACTAGAGGTAAAACAAAAGAAGACGTTCTTGGTGTGGATTTGGTTTGGGCTTTGGGTTTTTTTGACAGGTTGTGTGTGTCCCTGCCCTTGGATAAATGGCTATAACTCTCCCAAGCTGGTAATTGAGAGTTGGTAATTGCTCAGCTTGTGCATGTAATGGACACCTGGAAAGGAAATTCTGGAATGGCCCTTTAGAGGCTGAGGTGGCACAATGTTTGTAACTTCTCTCTTGCCACCACCTCTGGAAGGCAGTTCTGCTGCTCTGTAGTGATTCTGGTATCTGCCTCCCCCTCAATCATGTTGACAGAATTCTGAATCAGGGAACTTAATGTGGATTAAAAATGAAACTGTGAAGGGAAAAAAACAAACGAAAACAGTAACAAACAGAAAACAAAGCAAAAAGTAACAAACAAACAAAGCAACAAATAAATCTCAAGTCAGTTTCTTGATTTGTTTTCCTTTGTGACATGCCCCATGAATAATTGTTCCAGCCTGGTTGGGGGTAGTTGGGGCAGGGAAGAAGAAACCTTTTAGAGCTGGTGCTGCCTGTAGGATAATCTGCCAATGCCATTCTGGTGTGAGTCTGTGGCTGCAGGAGCTGGAAGGAGGCTGTCCGTGCTTGGCTGCTGCACAGGGGTATTCCTGCTCACTTGGTTCATCCTCAAACCCAGGTGCCAGGGATGTCTGGTGCCTGGGTCAAGAAGTGGCCAGGGGACACCTGTTTTGAGTTGATGGATGTTTTCCTTCTACTTCTGTGGTAAAAAGAAAATGCAAGAGAAAAAGAAGGACCTTTGTGACGGTAATAAGAAAAAACAACAAAAAACCCCAAACGATTTAAACACTTGCCTGCTCTGCCCTCCTCCTTGCAGGTTTAGGAGGATCTAAGATTAGCTCTAAGATGTCTGTTTTGAGGAAAGTTTGCAAGCATGCCTAAGCACATTATTTCTTATCCCCTGTTAAGCTTTGGGAGCAGACAGGGTGTAGCTTGCCTCATAGGTGTTGACAAGGCTGCCAACGAGTATCAAAGCTGAAGAGCCTGATGCACTTCCCTACCCTGCTAGCCTGCAAGAGCCAGGCAGCTGTGGCCTTCCTGTGTGTGGTGAGACTGGAGGGGGCTGCACAGGCAGAGGTTATTTTCCAAGGGGTGTTTTAGATAGTTGAGTAGGCTGCAGTCCTCCCTTCCAAAACCCAGTGGGTTTCTGAGATCAGAAGGTGTGAAGGAACAGATTCACTGGCACTGTTTCTGTAGAACCGTTTTAAGCTTTTAACTTCTGCAGCGTCTGTTTTTCCTGCAGGGCAGCTGATTAAATATTTGCTCTTTCTTCATTCATTGACTTTTTTCTCTTGTACAGCTTTGGTTTTATCTGGGCTGTGGGAAGTAGTGACCAGATCTTCTGGGGGAAATAGTGACCAGATCTTCCTGACCTCTTCATTCCAGGGGACCAGGTCATGCGACACAACAATTCTTAATCACCCTTCAATCAAGAAATTCTTGGAATCTCCCTCGAGATCTTCATCTCCAGCTAACCAGGGCTCAGACACTCCCTCTGCCAACCACTCTGAGAGTGACTCGCTCTCCCAGCACAATGACTTTCTCCTGGACAAGGACAATGGCAACTTGGACGCCGAGGAGCGGCTGACAAACAGCCTGGACCAGAGACAGAGCAGAAATGCTGGCCGGGTAAAGTAAAACTCGAGTGGTGATCAAGTTGTTGGAGGTGTGTGCTCTGAGGACTCGGTGCTGGCACCAGGAGCTCTTCATGTTTTCACCCACCTTGCTGAAGATGTGTTTCTTATCCTCTCCAACTGCTTGCTCCCACTCCCTCAGCCTGGCTTTGCTGTGAGGCCAACTGAAGTGTCTGTAACGTGGGTACCTCCTCTTACCTCATTCCTGCCCAAAGCGGGCTCAGCAGGCTCAGGTGGGGTCAGCACAGCTCTGCCACCCTTGGCTATAGCCTCTGGGGAAGGAGGTGCTTCACAGCCTGAGCTTGGGCTTTGCTCTACTGGTGGAAGTCAGGTTGGGAGGGTAGAGCCTGCAGAGGAGAGTGTGTCATTCCCAGCAATGTGTCATTCCCAGTAATGCTGCTGCCTGGCTCTGGGTGCCCATGGAGGCTGCATTGCTTAGAACACTGGATCCACTGGAGGGGTTTGGCCTCCTCAGCAGCCTGTAGTGCAAACAGTAGCAATGGAGGATTAGCTCACCCTGGCAGCATGAAATGGTAGAGCCTGGGTGCACAGCTTGAGACCATACAGGGGAGAATTGTTTTTCTCTTGATGGTGCTGTTGTGCATTACCATCAGTTGCTTAACTGAACCAGTCTGACCCAAGTAAAAAAATGTTCTGTCAGTGTTCCCTCATGCTTTTTGGAGAGGTTATTTTTGACCTGGATCCAGTCCCTCCCTTTGTGTCTCACTGTGCAGCAACACAAATGTTTCACCTGTTGGCTGCAGGTGGCACCGCTGGGGAGACTCACTCAGTGTCTGCAGTTGAAATGTGAAATGAGGTGAAACTCTTCAGTTTCCTTTCAGTTCCTTTAAGTGGTCAGGCCTGCCAGAGTAGTACAGCCAGGGGTGGGTGTATCTCAGTGAATATGGCTGCATTCTGCAGCTGAATAAGTTACATGGCAGAAAGAGCAGTGATTCTGCCTTGGGTCTGTAGCAGAAGGCAGATGAGCCATGCAGAATGTGGACCCACCTGTGTTGTAAACCAGCAGAGCAATAGAACATGTTTCTGTGCTGGGGGCATAGGTGGTTGGAGCAGTTGTATTGCTTGGGGATAGCACGTTGGGACATCTTTGACCAATGCAGAGGAGGCTGAGGGAGTGATGAGAAGCAGGTGCCATCCCAGCCTTCTGTGACTCCTTGTTCCACCTTGAGGCATCCCTGATTTGGCAGAGGAGGGGGAATGGTTCCTCAGTGAATCCAGTGCTTCCCATGCTGACCCTCCTCTGGCGAGTGCTCAGTGGGATGCATCCACTGGGCTGCTCTGCTCTCCTCATCCTCACTCAAGGATGGCAGTCCCTTATTCTCCAGCCAGACACTTCATCCAACAAAGTTGTAGAAAAGCCTCTCAGTCCATGCAAACAACACTTCTACTTGTGTTGGCACAGTGGGTGGTCAGATCATTGTACTGGGAGTCTTGGCCACTGCTTTAATAGCTGGGGTTATGTTACAGGGTGGCTGGATTTATTGTGCCAAGGTATGGCTGTGGATCTGGGGTTTACCTGCATGGCAGTGACAGGTCATGCCTGCTCTCCCTGCTCAATTGGAGTCTCAAACCCAGCCTCGATTATTCACTGTGAGCAACACCAGAGTCCCTCAGAGCACCAGAGGCTGGGAAAGAGAAAGATTTAGATTTTCAGCCCCCACTCATGGGCAATTGAGCTTTGTTCCTGATGAGTAACCAATACAATGCCATTCTAGCCATGCCTGGTTTTATTTCTGATAGTGCAGGGGTAGTGCTTTTGAAACTCAGGCTGAAGTCATGGCTCAGCTCCATGGGATGTCACAGCCATGTCTGCTCAGTTAATCCATGCAGTGTGTTCTTGACCAGGGAGGCTAGCATTGTTACATGCCTGAGTTGCTTAAATGTGCCTAGAGAGCAATTTAAGTATTTTTAGGGATGCTTCCTTGTTTCATTTATTCAGGTTTTTGTTGTTTTTTGTTGTTTTTGTTAACAACACTTTCCTTTTCTAGCACCAAACAAAATGATGTTTAAGAGGAATGTTTGGGTTTTTGTTTGCCTTTTTTTTCTTCCCCTACCCTCAGGACAGTTCGGGTGTTTCAAGCTCTCAAAAACCAGGACAACGAAATGCCGGACTGTCAAATGATGAAACTTCACGACTTTATGTGAAGAAAACGATTGTGGTTGGCAACGTCTCCAAGTTAGTATCCAGAGCCTGAGGGATGGTCCTTTATTTCAGGATTAAATTGAATAGAAAGTTACAATTAGGAGACAAATGAAATTGCTAGGCTGTCACAGTATGATCTGTTACCCTTGAATGAGCACTTTACCCAAGGCAGCCCTCCTCTGGTCTCAGCATGAGGGTTTTTTGTGGAAGGAACAGGTGTTTTAGTAGTTATTTTGTTTATAAATTTATATGTGTGCAGAGATTTTAAGATCTCTTTCTCTCAAGGGAAGTCTTTCACCCTTTTTTGATAGAAATCAGAAGTTTTCCCCTGAAAATTTGGAGAAGCAAGTTATCCTAATTGAGTGTGTTGGCTAATTCAGTGTGTCCATGGGTACAATGTGGGGTTTTCTTAAACAGAAGAAAAACCCCAAGAGAACAATACACTACCAACCACAATGAGGAAAATTGTGCAAGTTCAGAATAGTTTAAACAAATTGTTTCTTACAGTTTTTATTTCTGTTTAAGAGAAGACATGAAAATATGTATAACTTTTGATCTTCAAGGAAATTAGTAATGAAAAGCATTACTTTTAGGAAACTGAACAATTCCAGGTTTTAGCTCTCCATCCTTGCTCTGCTCAAGTCAGTCTTTTGCACAGAATATATCAGACATTTCCTGACAAAACTTAAGAGTCAGAGTTGCTTCTTGAAGATCTAACTCTTGAACCCTGAACTAAGTATTGACTGAAGTTGCTTAAAAAATTATAGGAAGAATTGTATTATTTTCTATTTATGGTAGCAGAGTTGTTGGTGTTGTGTTCTGGTGTGGTTTTGCTTCCTGATAGCTCAGAATAGGACAGGATAAGGAATTTGACAGTGGTAGAATATTAAAATTAAGTCGTCTTAATTAAGAGCCAGATGTTTAAATGGGTGAGTGTCATATGGTAGTTGTGCATTAAAATAGAGGAAGTGTGTTAGAAACTGAAGAGTAGATTATGGGACCTGTATCTGTTCCTGGATGAACTGTCAGAGTAAGGACAAACGAGTAGAAATGTTCAGGGGGCAAGGTTCCCACAGGCATTTTAACATTCCCAATTTTTTTGCACAATCTTTCCAGAAATACTTTTTGCAGTATTTGTCTCTTTGGGACTTTTATCTTGTGTTTGTTATTTAATTTTTTTACCAGGTACATTCCTCCTGACAAGAGAGAAGAAAATGATCAGTCAACCCATAAATGGATGGTGTATGTCCGAGGCTCTCGGAGAGAACCCAGCATAAATCATTTTGTCAAGAAAGTTTGGTTCTTCCTCCACCCCAGTTACAAACCTAATGACCTGGTAGAAGTGAGGTAATAAGGAATTATTCCAGTCACTATTCCAGTCTTTGTGCTTGCCAGGCTTACAGTGCCAAGTTTCTTAGAAGCCATTCTTAGAAAATTAACAACTTCTTTTCCTGGTTTAATGCTCTGTGTGTGTATTTAACCTCTGGCTTAACTTGGCTTACTCCAAAATAGTAGTAAAAATAAATGAGGTTTTTTATGTAGCAAATGTGCCAAACAGGTTGTTTGGTCTGGGGTTTTTTTTTTTTAGTTTCCTTCTGAGAAAAAGCATTAGTTGTTGCATTTCATGCTATTCATGTGGGTTGTGCCTCTCCTGTATGTGTTACATACACTCTCTGCTGCTCAGGTTAGGCTTCTGGTGCTAAACAAAGTGTTTTCTGCCACCCATATATTCCAGTGAGAAAAAGAAAGAGAATCTCCAAAAGCTGATTTGCCCATATTTTTAATGTTCTATGTGTTGTTGGACATGAATATCCCACTCCAAAATACCTCTCTATGGTGTGAGATCAGTGGCATTGGCTTTGTGCTTTGAGGACTTTCCCATCAATGGAATGATGCTGGTGCTACAGAAACAGGGCAGCTTCCCTGTGCTCTCCCAAACCTCTATCCCTGTTTTCCAAGCTGTCACCCTGCTGGGGGATAGGTTCTCTCTCGACTGCTGCAGGGAAGTGCCCTGTGAGTCTTTGATCCTTCTTCCTTGGGCAAGACTGAGGGAGGCTGCCTTGGAAGTAGCTGGTGTCTTCCCAGAGAAATTATTCTCCACAGGATATTCAGCTGCCTCCTGGAGGGAGGAGTGTGGGAAGAGCTGTTTAGGTACAGAATGGCAACTTAATTCTGGCAAAATTAAACTACTGAAAGGCAATTCCAGGAAGACTTATTTGAGATATGAAGTGTTGGTATGGCTCAGTAATGTTTCTGAGAAGACAGCCCTGAGCAGAACAAAAGCAAACTCTGTTGTATTTCTTCTGTAACATATCAAATTATATTTGATTACTGTCTTTTTGAGCCTTTCTCAGTTGTCAGTGCTGGTTATCTTCTATTTTAATCCTATCTGCTTAATAGATTCCTAGTGTTACAGTCCCATTCATTGTAGTGAACATTAATATTCTGGATTAAAAATTGCCTTTTAACCTCTAGCATTTTTTAAAACCATATTTACATTTACAATAACAAGCTGAAATACAGAGTGAAAGTAAATCTTACAGATCCTTCTTTTTCAGCTTGGAGAATTACAGTGATTAACTTTTCCTTGTCCCTGTGCTGTTCTGTTGCTATTACATAAAGCATGTGCTTTTTTGCTACTAGATAGGGAGCAGCAGGCAGTGGTTGCAAAATGCTGCATTGGAAGCTCACCTTACAGTGAGCTGACTTGGGTTTTTTTTAACTAAGTGTTTTCCATTTGACATAGCACAGCCCTTTTTTTGTCTTCTTTTTAAAAATACCACACTTGTTTCCCACGTGTCTCTTCCAACAGTGTTTTACCATTTTCTTCCCTATCCCCTTGTCTAAAGTTAAAAAGTATGTTTTCAGCTGTCCAAAGCCATAAAATTCCCATTGCTGTGATTACACTTTCTCTGTGGTGCCTAGCAGACCTGAAAATAGCTTTAGTTGTCAGCTAGAAAAACAGTCTTTGGCTTTCTGAAAAGGAGGGAAGTGAAAGCTGTATCACTTCTGCATCAAAATGTAATCACTGTTTATTTCCAGAGAACCTCCGTTTCACCTGACCAGGAGAGGCTGGGGAGAATTCCCAGTGAGAGTGCAGATACACTTCAAGGATAGCCAGAACAAAAGGATTGATATCATACACAATTTGAAGGTATTGGAACAAAATACTTTAGAGAAAGGCATTTCAGTGAGCTCTCGTGCATAGTCTAGAAGAGGCTGTGCTTGTCTATGTGCTTTTGCCTCTCTGTGTTACAAGTGTCCTGGTGGTTATTTTCAGATGAATAGTTGACCTGGAGAATCAAAGCAGATCCAGGAAAGCCTCTTACCTTGGCTGTGTGGAGCTGATGCAGCAGCTGGGGCTGAGTGTGCCCAGAGCAGTAGTGTTCAGCTGTTTTTCCCCTACAATTTGAGATTTTTGTCATGTTTTCACTGGCTTTAACCTAACAGGGTGCTTCAGGGCTGTCTTTCTGCTAGTAAAGTGGCTGCCATGTCTGTTCTGTTCTTTCAGCACGGGCAGGCATCAGCTAATGATTATCTTTGTTGTTAAAGTGGGCAGGGAGGGCTGAGATTCCCTATTCCCTTTGAAGAGATCTCCCTTTTCCAGCTCATTCACCCCTGCAGCACTTGGGATTTCTGGTATGCAGCAGTCCTGGAAAACTAGGCCACTGCTCGTTTTCCTTTTAATTAGCAGTCCCTGGCATTAGTGGACTTAAGTCCTGAGCTGGGTTAGTCTCCTGTTTCTTTGAGCAGTGTTAATTTTATTTGAACTCTGCCTGCATTAATGAATTTCATGCTAAATAAGGTACCTCACTGCAACCCTAAATATAGATAATAGAGGAGGTTGAAGATATTCCCCTGCATCTTAGGGTCATTTAATGCAGATGGTGAGTAAAATATATCTGGGGAAATGTGACTTGGGGAGAAATTATTAACACTGTGATGGATGGTGAAGGAAGCTCAGCCTACAGAAGAAAACTGAGCCAGTCCATGGCACACAGGAGCTCAAATCAGCAAATCTTTGCTGTTCTCCCACTGAGCCTGTGGCTGCTGTGAGGGCACAGAGTGAGCTGAGCCCTCCTCTGTGCCTGGCACCCCATGTGCCCCTGGGCTCTGGCACATCTTACACCTCTCAAACCCAGCTGCTTCTACAGGTGTCTTGACAGGTGCCTCTGGGATGTTATGCCTCTTTATCAGTTGATGATTTGGTGTGAACACTTAGTTAATCAAAAACTATGGTGTAAACACAGCCTTTGTGCTGGTCAGTTGAAAACACAATTATTTCCTTATATTGGCATCAGGAATAAAAAAAAAGGACACTGCTTGAGGACTCCTTAGATGGAAATATTCCCTCAATAATCTCATTTCCTTCAACTTTTTTGCTCCTTTCCACTTTAGTGTGGGCCTTGTGTCATGGTTGAATTTTTTGCAGAAGAGAGGGAGGGCACTTATCAGAGCACACAGATTTCTGACCTTATGACCTCAAAATTTTGGATGCACTGCTGCTCAACTTGCATAGATTAAAACTTCTTTCAAAGAATCTGTATTGTAAATTCTAGCTAATATAATGCTTTGCCCTGACTAATGTATTCTATTGTCTTTTCCAGCTGGACAGGACCTACACAGGCCTGCAGACACTTGGTGCAGAAACGGTGAGTCAGAGGGTCATGGGATGGATTTGATTCACTTAAAGATGTTTAAAAAGAGAAGATGCATGAGGCTAGTCACAGAGTCAGACCCATTTGATTTTACAATTTCTAGAATGTAGATTTTGCTCTCTTGTTGAATGAAAGGATTATGACACCTTGCCACTATTCATGACAGCAGTCATTTTTTTTCTCCTTCCTGGTTCAGGGGAGACTGTTTCCAGCTCTTCCTTCATAAAGAACTTGGCTTGTACTGGAGCTTTAAATTTTAGTGCTTTGTGAAGCTTTTGGTATGAAATGTTCTGATTTGCATTCTGATCTGCTGCAGAGCTTACACATAAAGAATTTAAGTTCAAGGCATCACCCAACTATTCTGCTGAAATTTTACTGTATATTAAGTACTTCTAAGTTTCTGTATCTGTCAAAATTCAGGACTTCAATGGCAAGTGAACTCTTGAAATAAATAAATTAATTAATAGACCATAGTTTGCTAAAGTTCTAAAGTTTTCTTGATATTGTTTTCCCCTTGCTGTACTGTAGTGAATGGAAATTTTTATGGTGAAATCGCATTACTTCAGCTTTTCAGTTTGTGGAGAAAGCATTGAGGTGAAATGTCTACTGTTATTAAAAAACACTTCTGAAGAGTAGATCATGTGGTGTTGATTCTCAAGGCCTTACTGGAAAAGACAGGCTTCAGTTTAGTGCTGTCCCTACAGGGGTGTAAAGTCCTTCCTTTAGTGGGTTGCTTAGAGCTGGGCTCCATAATCCTTCCAGTGATTACAGTTCACATTTCCCCATGGACCAAGACGTGCTGTTTTACTGTGGAGGTTCAATGTTGCATGATTTTTGTCATAGCTCAAGTACTGCTGGGGCTTTGGGAACTGTCCCTGAAAAGGATGCAAATGTTATGTGGAGCTGGGTGAAACAAAGGGAGAGGTATTAAATTAATTTTAGGCATTAAAATAAAAAGGCAGAGTTGGTTTGGGGTTTTATATCTTTACCTAGCTACCAAATACTAATGTCCTTTCTCCTGTTTTTGAAAGGTGGTGGATGTGGAGCTACACAGGCATTCCCTTGGCGAGGACTATCTCTTCTCCCAGTCTTCAGAGTCTTACCTTTCCGATGTTCCTACATCTTTATCACTGCCTCTGAGTATCCCAGCACCAGTCAAAGCTTCTTCACCAATTAAACAGTTGAGGGACTCCAGCCCAGATGCTTCTGTGGACAAAGGTAAAGCAAATAGGTGTCAGTTCTTGGAACTTTGGCTCTGCTGGATACCTCCTCTTAATTGCTGTTATGCCTTAAAGGTTGTTGGTGCTACCTGCTTGTTTCTCACCCCAGATAATATTTTCCTCAATGTGCTCTGACATGTGATTCAGGAATTTTTATAGATAATTTGGTTTTGTTCGAGTTTTTTATCTGAAGTTTGTTGAGCAGGCTCTGTTTCACTAAAACATAGTGAGTAAGAAGCAGATGCAGTTGGAAAAAAAGGTTGAATAGCACTTGTAGTTTTGGCTTTGTCAGACTATTTTCAGAGGAGTTTTTAGGTTTCTGAATGTTTTGGGGACAGTGTATACATTTAAGGAATTGGTCTAGTGGTGTGTTCAGTTATATATGTTAGTGCCTAACATGAGCTGACTATGGGGGAACAAAAATCCCTAGTTATCTGTAATTACTGTACTGTGGAGAACAGAGACTGAAAATGTTGTGTGTGTTTGTCTGAGGGATGATGGCGTCTCTGCACATCAGGATCTCATTCTCCCTTCCTCTGAGAGATCAGGAAAGTCAGGATCCATTGCAGTGGGGCAGCAGTTGAGGCCTTACCATCACTTGGATTGCCTGGGACAGGCAGAGCTGGCCCCTGGGCACACTGCTGGGATTTGCAGTTTGTGCAAAGGAGGAAGAGCTGTGCCTCTGGCATTTAGCTTTGTTTTCTGGAACACTCGCTGTCGAGGCTTGCACAACAGACTTGGTTAACAGGGCTGAGATACAAGGGTGTGGGTTACACTCTGCAGTGTGAGAAACCTTCTGGACACAGCCACGTTATAGTTCAAAATAGAGTCAGATGCTGCATGGTCTGATGCTTTTCTTGATTTATTCCCTCACTCCTGTGTTCCAGGAGTGGCTGTAAGCTGGTGCCATGCATGGTTGTGCTTTCTGATAGGCACTGTGGTGCTACTGGTGGTGTTCAGGCTCAGAAAGAAGAATGTCTGCTGTTTAAATGTGGTCATTTCTTGTGGCTAAAAAATGACAAACACAACTAAATTTTAAACGCACAGGTTTTTTATTTGAACAGAAGGATTTGTAGCATCTTTAGGTGAGCAGTGCTACAGCCAGCAGGAAGGAAGTAAACCTCCCTCCTTTTTACACTGACAGGCAGTGGCTTATCTCAACAGCTCCAGGTTAATTGATCTCATTCTACACCAAATAAAGTGGATTCCGTAGCCCAGCTCAAAAGGCAATCTGCTCTCCTTGAGCTCTTATTCCAAAAAATGCACTGCGAGATTCTGTGCAAAGGATATCTGGCCTTGGTCCTGTGGAGCCTTAACCAAGGACACTTGGAACTAGCAGCTTTTGGTCAGTGGAAAGGCATTCCAAGAAACTGTGTTAAGATGTGACTGATCACCTGCCACAGCTGAACAGGCTGTGCATGACATCATTTTATTCTTCTTGTCCAGCAGATCCAGCGGGCCTGTGCAGGAGCAATCCCCTCCCTCACTTTCTCCTTGTTCAGCGCTTCCCACCAGTTGCTTTTCCTTCCTTCTTTCCTTCAAGAACGTGTTTGTCGTACCTGAGTTATGCTTGTGTAGAGAAGCACAGTAAGGAATCAGATGTGTCAGCCTAAGAAGTATTTCTGTTCTTTTCCCTGTTTTGATCAGGATTCTCTGGGAATGCTGAAACCGAAAGACATGCCGCGTTTTATTCCCTGCCATCCTCGATAGAACGGACTCCCACCAAGTTAGCCACACAGAAAGTTGCTTTTGGCTCTCATGGAAATTCAGCCTTTCAACCCATTGCAGCTAGCTGTAAAATAGTGCCTCAAGGTCAGAGTCCAAGCCCTGCAGAGTCACCAGGAAAATCCTTCCAGCCTATCACCATGAGTTGCAAGATTGTATCAGGTGAATGTTAGTTTACTTACCCAGTGCCTCCCCCTGGAAAAGGAGAGAGTGAACCAGTTGGACTTGTTTTGTGCCTGTCCCTTGGTTTTCTGCCAGTCTTTGAGCATCAGACAGTAGGAAACTCTAGAATAAGGAGCTAAGCACACTTCTTAATGTTCAAGGAAAGAAAAGTACAAGCATGAAATGGTTCACAACAGATGAAAAGCAGGATGAGAGCTGTTCTCTCCATGGTCTTGAATGCTTTTAGGTATGAAATAGGTAGTCTTGAAATGGACTGCTACCCACAGAAAGGCCCATGCAAAAACACATCCCCCATGTGGAATATTTTTATGTGGGGAGAAGCCATTCTTCTCCCTCCTGCTTTCATACAGCTGGGATGGATTAAGAAGAATTTGTTTCATGATTACTGGGCAAATAATTGATTTTAACCTTGTAGGCTCCAATAGACCCTCTTGTGCTTGCCATATTGCATCAGATGGAGCAGCTTTGGTCTTTGCCTCCAAAAGTCAACCTTGGGTTGGATTAAACTGCCAGCTGGCTGCAGTGGGCAGTGTGACAGCTTCTGAACCAAACATGGCCAAAGTGCTGCTTTGCTCATTTCACTCGTGTCCCTTCCCTGCCTGGGTGTGATACCAGTCACTGAATGATGTTTTACATCAGAAAGTATTAATGTACAGCTCACTATGACACGTGCTGTGAAGCTGCAAGGTGACCTGTTGCAGTTCTTCATTTTCTGGTGTTCAGGGTAGAGAGGATGAAGCACCAGCTATCAGTACATGTGATTTCTGGTGATCTGCTCCCAGATAATTTTCTTAAAGTGTGTCTGGTCTGATGTTTTGGTTTGGTTTTGTTGTTTTGGGGTCTTTTGTTTGTTTGTTTGTTTGTTTTAATTAAATTTCAATATTGTTCCTTGACATCCTTAAACTGTACTCAGGTTGATTTACACTTGAACCTGTGCCAAGTGCTTCATTCTTTCTTTATAAACTATTCTCTTGATCTTTTCCCAAAGCTTCCTAGAAAGCAGGAATTACAGGGGCCATGCTGTCTTTCCTAAAGTCCTTGGACTATTCTGTGTTGATCTTTCTATTTAAATGTTTCCCTGCTAAACATTTTCCCAAGGTTCTGCTGTCTGCTGAGAAAGGGTTTCCCCTTCGTTTATAAGACATGGGGGTTTTATTTGATGAGCATTTATGTTCTAACTGTCAATAACTGCCATGAAAGTAGATTAACAGGCAGGTGAAGCTTGGTGTTTGCTGCTGTCTCTTCTCTGATCACTTCCTTGCCAGTCCTTTTCTCTGAATTTCTTGTTTACCTCTTCATGCAGCTTTTTTCTTCTCTAGTTTCTCTCTCTCCTGGCCATGTTACCCAGAGGCTGCCCATTTTACAGATTGATTTCAAGGATTTCTGCTGTAGTGAGAGCAATGAAGGGACTTGGGTGTTCCTGCTACCCAAGGCTGTTCCATGCAGCCTTTTTAGGTTCCCACTCTTGCATGCCTGTACCTTGGGCTGCACAAGGGCAAGAGGCTCAGCTCTTTCTCCATCTCCTTGGGTGCACTAGTCTTGGCACTGAGAATGGCACAGCTTATATCCCTCAGGATTCAAGGGTGGTGGACCAGGTGGCTTCTTAAGTTCCCTTTGAGCCCTGCTTGTCCTGGTAGGCAGAGCATGTCCAGGGTGGGTATGAGCCATAGTGCTTTATGTGCCTTTTCCTTTCCTTCTGTCTTCTCTTTCCTTCTCCAAGTCCTGTGACCTCACTCAGGCTGGGAAATGCATCCTCAAAAAACATTCCTTTTCTAAGCCATTTTCAGAAGTACTACTATTGCCATGTTTTTATGTTCTGACAACATTTACAAGCTAGAAGCATTGGACTTTTTTTCTGAAGGTTCTCCAATATCGACCCCTAGTCCATCTCCGCTACCTCGTACCCCAACGTCCACTCCGGTGCACATGAAGCAAGGCTCTGCTAGCTCAGTCCTCAATAACCCGTATCTTATTGTGGACAAGCCTGGACAGACGGTTGGAGCAGCAGCCACAAGCACAGGTGTGTAGTGTGACCACACAAGGCAGTGGCTTAGTCTTACCCCTTCAGGTTTGTTCTCCCTTTAAAATGATCCGTCTAACAGCAGCGTTTCAGCCCGTGGAGATGGAGAAATGCTCAGCAGAGAAAGAGGAAGGTGTTGGTTTGCACAGCTGGCCTGTGTGCATGGCTGAGGGTATCTCAGACTTGAGCATTGCTTCCTTTAGGAAACAGCACAGTGTAAAGCCAGACAATCCACAGACACCTCTTCTGAGGTGAGAGAGCGTGTTCTTTTCAGGTGAAAAGGGAAGGGGAGAAAGTGACGTAAACCATGTTGCACAGCTTTAGACAGAAAGAGTGCACAGATGGTTGGGTGACAGTGCTGGCTTGGATGTGGCAAAGAGCATGGAGAGGTTGCAGTGACTGGCAGATCAGTCTTACAGTGTGGAGCACAGTAGATGTGTTGAAATGCAGAGACCCAGGTTACCAGGAGAACAGCTGTGCTGGATTTTGTTACTGCTCTCAGCTTCTACCTGGTCCAATTCCAGCTGGTTTGGATTCCTCTTAACTGGATTCCTGCAGTGGTGACTAAAGCTTGGGATCACAGGGAGGGCTGAACCACAGGACACAGGTGATGGTTAGAGGAGTCAGTCAGTAATCTTTGTGTTGGGGTGGAGGAAAGATCCCTCAGAAGTCATTTATTTGTTGTGATATATGGCCAAGAACTGCTGTCTTTTTAAAACACACTTGTTTGTGTATGTGCGTGAATCCCAGCATCTCAGCAGGATGCCCAGGGTCAAGTGAGGGAGGGCAGCATCCATGGAACACAAACCGTTTGCTGGGCATGGTTGGAAAACACAAAAATTCTTTTTACTAATGGTTCCTCCTTTTATCTGAATTATGTAGCTGTATCTGAATTTTTTTAAGTATGTTTTGGGGCTTTCTTGGTAACACTGATGCTGTTTCACCAATAGGGTTTAATTAACTGGGGTTTTTTTTGATTGGTTGGGGAATTTCTGCCTCTTACTTTCTGTTTCTTCTTTACCTCCAGCCTGACTGTGTACTCTGCCTAAATGGTTTATCATAGTTTGGGTAACTTTTGGTTTCTTCTGGTAGAGGTTCGTATATGGAAGATGTGCAGATGCACCAGATCGTTGGGATGTACAGGTGTTAGTGCAGTTACTGTTAAAGCTGCAGTTTCCCTCCACAGTGGAGATGTAGAGAGTGGCCTGGCAGAGACTGCTTGCTGCCTCTCCCTCCCTGCACTCCTGTGCCTCCCCTGTATCCTGCACGAGTCAGATCACATCAGTGGCAGAGCAGAAAATTGATACTCTCCCCTCCCCAGACAACTTTGTTGTGAGAGACCCTCATCACCAGGTCCTGTGTGAGGTGCAGGATGATCTCTGGAACTGACTTTTTGGCAACAGCAGCTGGGCTGGATTGAACATAATGTGTATTACAGAAGAAGTCACTGGGGCACCTTTGATGAGGCTGTAGATTGTATTTAAGAAAAGGGGTGAGATCTTACTCGGTGAAAGCCAGCCTTCCCAAAGCCCTTATTCTCAGAAATGGCTGCTCATTTACTTCTAAACTCTAGTGTGGATTATAGTATGAGACACTGGTTTTTTGCTTTCATGTGTGTAATCCGTGGCTTTGGTGTCTCTTGAACAAACAAAACTGCCAAACCAGCCCAACAGCAGCAGTCACAAGACTGCTGAGGAGCAGTCTTATGCACATGCCAATAATGCAGGGTAAGTTTACCACTGGACCCCCATCCATCTTGGGGGCCAGGACAGCGCTGTGGCACATGTGGCAGTCTGATAATTTTGCAAGAGCATCTGCCACAGATGACTCTATGCCTTCATTCCTTGTTTCTGTTTCTTCCTTTACCTTCCTCACTCTGTCCCTTGCTCTTGTTACTCCTCACTTTGTCTCCCTCCTTTTGTGGCCTTTCTTTTCCTTCTCTCTCCAATCCTTCCTCCAAGGCTAATGTGGGTTCAGGGGACTTCTGGGCAGCAGAGGACTTTGCATCTGTCCTTATTTCACATATTTGCACCCGTAGCTGATATCCTCAGCCACTCAGGAAGGTTCCTGAGCATTTGCTTGCAGCACACAGTGAGTGGAGAGTACCTTCTCTAGGGCATGGTTCCCACAGGTGGAAATTCGGTGGTGGATCTGTTTTGTGCCCATGGCAGTTCCTGCTGATGTACCTGATGGAGAATGCAGATGAAATGAAATGTCCTGTTCCTTGTTAGAAGAGGCTTCATGTGTGCAGTGGCCTTGCTCCCAGCCCTCACCCAGCATCTGCTTTATTTCCTGCTGCACAGGGAGCCCCACCAGCAAACTGAGCAGTGTCTGTCAGGCCTCTCACGGGACTGGATCTCCTGTGTCAAAGACCCATGGGAGCAGTTTTGGCACCTCAGCTGTCAAGGTAACATTCTCATTTGGTGTGTACTTCCCGTTTAAAGTCCAGCTTTCTATTAAATGGCACTTCTTAGCATTAAAAATTCTGCAGTTCAGGCAAGTTCCTTGGATTGTCATTTCATGTGAAGGTTTACTGAGTCAAACAGATGGAGCCATAGGAGAACATGGTGGTTATACAAGATGATAGTGTCACTTCATGCAGCTCTAATTAGGCTTGCCTACATATCTGTTAAAGGCACTGCTCTTCTATTTCTCTCCAAGGAAATCCATGGAGGGCATAGTTCCCCAAACCTTGTATCTTTCAAAAAAGCTCTTCTGTAGCTGGCTTTGATCTTCTTCACTTTGTTAGTCACAGAGTATGATTGAACCAGAGATGCCTTCCTCAAAACCTTCACTCTGCTCATTATTTTTGTACAGCAGCTGTTCCTAGCAGCCTGAAAATAACTCATGTAGTGGTTTTACAACTGCCTGAATTTAGAAAAATGTTTGTGTAAACAGTGGAGTAACATTTGGACGTGTAAACAAACAGCAATAAATACAGTTCATGCTTCTGATCTGCAAAGCCCAAAAGGTGCAGAGCTGAACTGTCTCACATCAAATCTCTCCCTCATCTTGTGCTAGGGATGATATTTCTGGCAGGGAAGTGGCGTCAGTGAGGCTCTGAAAGCAGCTGGCGGGTGTGCTGCTGGAAACAGGAGCATTTCCCTGTCTCCAAGCCTCAGTATTAAAGCAGGATATGGTGGGGGAAGGCTTGCCAGTCAGCCTGCAGAGAGCAAATCACTTCACATTTGGATCTGAGATGCTTCCTATGTCTTCTGGGCAAAAAGTGTTGCAGACTGTTGTCTGAAGCAGTTCGTTTGGAGTAGCATTTTTGGTGTCAGGTGTGCAAGTGGCTAGTCAGATTTTAAAAACCTGTGTGCTCACATGGATTTCACTGAACTATGTTGAAAATCGTTCATTATTCTTTATTTTTCACATTTTTTTCTGAAAAAAATTTCAGTGAGTCAGAGTAGGCACACATCATTAGTAACAGCTGAATTCTGTATTTCTAGGGCAACATTAAAAACAGAAGATATTTTTAAAAACCCATAAAAATTATACTTCTGTAAACAGAAATGTAATTTGATTTATTTCTCCTAGTTGGTGGAAAAACTGTAATTTTAGGGTTTGTTTAAAGAGAAGAGTGTGCCTCATAGTTCAGTGGGATATTACAGGTTGTGCATAACTCACCACTTTTCATCTCTTCACTGTGTGCTAGTTTTCTGTATTTATTTGAATGACTTCAGGCTGTGTTTCTGCAGCCCTTCTCAAATGCAGCTGCTATTGGGAGGACAGGTTGTGCTTCTAGCCTTGTCTTCACACCTCCCATTTGCCACCAGTTGTGCAGCTGTGTGGTGACCTAGAGCAGCCAGCCAAGCTGTGTGAAAACGAATGTTCCCAGCCACGTGTGTCAGTACAAGGAGGATGCCAGGAGTTGCAGGGCCCGATTTCTGCTCCTAATCCAGCCCAAGGATGGGCCAAGGGATGGTAAAACCATGGCTCTGGGGGTCAGGTTGATTGTAAAAGAGAGCAATTGCACTGTAACAAACTCCCTCAAATGCATTTGACTTCTCTGCTGGCCTCAGACCCGGAAGTGCTAGGTTCAGGTGATGCAATGGTTTTTACTAAATTTTTGTTGCTTCTGACAGATGGAGAGTTCTGTCTGGAAGGACTGTGTGCCACTGCATCACTCCAGTTAGAGGAGAGCATAGACTCCTCTGAGAGAAGAATTTTCCCCTCTGTAACTTGTTTCTTCTTACACTGTCTTCTCTCTCTGAGATTGTGTATAGGATCACAAAATGATGGAGGTTGGCAGAGACCTCTAGAGATCAACCACTCCAACTCAAAGCAGAGTCAAACAGAGTAGGTTCCTTGGGAATGTGTCCAATTGGGTTTTTGTCTTCAAGGCTGAAGAGTCCCCAGCCTCTCTGACCAGCCTGTTACTCTGTTTGGTCACCATAAACAGCAAGGTTCTCCTTATAATTTCCTATATTTCAATTTGTACCCATTGACTCTGTCCTTGCATGGGATACTGTTGAGTGTTGTCTAGCTTGACCTTCATTACACCTTCCTAGCAGGTGGTTGTATGCATTGATAAGATGCCCCCTCAGCCTATTTGAAATTTAAGTGAAGTACTTTTATATAAAAAATTGATCAGAGAACATGAATCAATATTTTTGCCTCTATGTGACATGGTAAGAAACAGTTACTGCTGTTGGAGGTGTAACTTTCCAACTAAAATTTGCATTTGTCCAACTAAATTTTTTATATTGAGAAAGTTAGACTCCTTTTACTCAATTGTTGACTGATTTTTAGAAATGTCTTATTTGCAAAGGTAATTTGGCCTGCCCAGATGTCCATGCTGCCCTTTATTAGCAGTCACTTGTTTTATTTCTTTTATTGGACATGTCACTGATTTTTGCACCATGTCTTCTTATTTGCAGCAGGAGGATTCTCTTTTTGCCACCATGCCACCCCTTTGTCCCATTGGGAGTCATTCCAAGGTGCAAAGCCCCAAATCGGTCACTGGAGGACTGGGAGCTTTTACAAAGGTATCCCTCCTGACTTTTGTGCTGGGACAGGCAGCCCAGTAGTGTCATTTCATGCTGACTTGTGCCACAAACCATGGAACTTCAGTGCTTGTAAAACTCTTACTGGAACCAATGTATCTTGCTGCTAAGGGCTCTGTAGCATCTCTCAAAAATGTGTCTTGTTTTCTTTCCCTGTGGCTCTGCTGTACATGGGATCTTGCCTTTTATCACCTCTTCCATCCTTTCTGGGGCTCTTTTTTGAATCACTGTTGTGTTCAGGCTGATATTTTGAAAGCTACTTTTAATGGGATGCAGTAGAAGTAAACTGCAATAGATCTGTCAGGAGCTTCTTAAAAATTGTAACGGTGATTTGTGAATCTCAGATGTTGCTGCTTCTGACTGTGTTGCCTTAAATATTACCACATGGAATATAAAATTCTTTCTGGCAATGTTAGGTGATCCAAGTAAAAGGTGAAAGAATGCTTCCTACCAGTTACAGTACCTACAACAATCTAACATGAAAAAGAAACCAGAAAGAGGCTTTTGTTGTGTTGCTGCCCTTGGAGATTAGATGTGGGGAAAATGTAAAACATATACACAAGAGAATGTATGTATGTCAGCTATCATCATTTAGTGTCTGTAGCTATTGGTTGCAGGATAGAAATAAATACCAAGTTCAGAACATGAATTTGAAACTTTAAAGTGTCGTGGCTCCATGTGGAGATGCAGCATCTGAAGAAATCAGGTCTGGCCAAGTCCCTTTGTCAGGATCAGTGATATTTGTAACACTACCAGCAATTGCTGTGACTGTAATTTCCATGGCCACCTCTGAAATGGGGACTGCTTTGTCACTATGTCACTTTGTCACACCACCCCACACGCTGTGTGGGAGCAGCCCTCACTTGGAGGCGAGTTAGAGTCCTGTGGTGGTGAGCACCATGTCTGAGTTCAGTGTGCCTGCCCTTCCCTGCAGACAGGCTGCTCCATGAGCCATCTTCAGCTTGAAGGTGATGCCTTGGGGTGGCTCCCTAGAACAGAGGCTAGACAAGATTAAGAGAATAAAGTGGGTATTAATGAGAGGCCTTCAATAGATACACCTGGGGCAGTCAGAAGCCTCAGAGGCTACACCCAAGATGGACAATGGTCATGAGTTTTTCGGACAGATATAAATTTAGTCCATTTACATATTAAGGGTTAACCCTCCAATTACAGTTTCAGGTAATGAAGTCATTTACCCCCAGTTTGGTCCCCTCAATTCACTTTTGTTAATACTTTTGGGACCTGAGGTTGTAGGGTGTCCTTGGCTCTCAGGCCTAGAGGAATTGTTTTGTCTGACCAAAGTGTGAAGACAGTAATTCACACTATTTGAAGTTTGGAGTTACACACTAATGCAGTACAGGATTTGAAAAACATAAAGGCTAAAATCCAAAGGCACCAGAGGTGTTTGCTTTCCTTGTGACCGTTTGTTGTCCTTGCCCAGGTGATCATCAAGCAGGAGCCCGGGGAGCTGCCGCAGCAGGCGGCGGTGCCGGCGGCGGGCGCGGCGCAGCCCTCGGTGCAGCAGTACGTCACCGTCAAGGGCAGCCACATGCTGGCCCTGTCCCCACAGAAACCCATCATGAGCACTGGTGAGGGGACAGTGCAGTCCAAGGTAAGGGGCATGGGGGCTGTCTCGTGGTGTTACTGCAGCCCTTGGTGCTTCTCCCAGGGGAGCAGGGTTGCTCCTGCCTTGCTCCCAGGTAGCAGCACCATGGGTAGCTGGGTTGCTCTGTGCAGGGTGGCTCATGTCCTGGTTCCGTGTAATCCTTGGGAAGGGAGCAGGCTGAGCAGGCAGTGTTGCATTTTATTGTGTACAGGAACATCTCCTGCTTCTGTTGAAGCTGTTGCAGCAGTGGGGTGCAGGTGCTTTTGGACTGTCAACCCATAAAGCTGGCTGCCATCAGCAGCTCTTGCTGAAACTCATCCAGGTCTTTCCTTAAGAGGAGATGAATTCTTTCCTGGGAATGCAGACCTGCAGCACAAGAGAGCAGCACAAATAGGGAGTGGGGTGGAGGCTGAGCCAGAACTAGCATTAGGTGAAAGCAGTCCTACTTGAGTGGCAACTCAAGTATTTTACTGGAGGAGTCATGCCAGTGCAGTCCTGCTTTGACAGGAGTGACACAGCTTCTGAGATGGCACAGTGCAGTGATATCTAAGATGACAGATGTGTCAGAATTTGTCTCCATTCTTGCCTCTTCCCATTGTGGACAGAATCGAATGATGTGCCAGGCACTAGAGATTACATACAGAACTTTCACGTTTGCCTAAGTAAATACTTTTTTTGCATTTGCAACATTTCCTTGTTCTTTTCCCTGCCTTTTCTGCCTGTTTGAGCAGATATGCAAAAAACTCATGTTCCTCTGCAGTTACTATTGACACATAAAATTGAAGCACTTTGTGGGTTCTGCTTTGAGGTTGTAGTTTTCCCAGGGAATCTGTTCCCATGGATGTGTTGAAACTGAATTTCTACATCTCTTTAATTCACCAAGGCAAGCTTTATCTTCAGCTGGAATTAAGCCTTGCTTATAAATCAAAGGAAAAGGAATTGCCCTGTGATTTGAATGAACGTAATCTTTTGTGGGTGTGCTGAGATCCTGACTGGGTTTAACAGTTTATCATTTTACTTGGGATTGGCCTCTTGCCGAATTAATTTTGTTCCTGAGTGAAGAGCTTCTGTTCGTGGCCAGGCACGTCCTGAAATGTCTGGAGATGGGGGTGGTGTACCAGCCAGGATTCCCAGGATGGCTGTGGCCAGCAGGGCCCCATCCCATGCCATCCCTGTTTGTTGCAGGTTGTTGGCGTTCCGGTTGGTTCTGCACTGCAGTCGACAGTGAAACAAGCAGTGGCAATAAGTGGTGGTCAGATCCTCGTGGCAAAGTCCAGCTCCTCGGTGGCAAAGGCTGTTGGTTCGAAGCAGGTTGTGACTCAAGGTGTAGCCAAAGCCATCGTGAGTGGAGGTGGAGGCACAATTGTGGCTCAGCCCGTGCAGACTATAACAAAGGCACAAGTTTCTTCCACAGGAGCTTTGAAAAGTACATCTCAAGGCTCAGGTAGAGTGATTTTACACCTTTTCAATAGCTGGTGATGGGTCTATAATTATTTATTCAACTGCAAAATAACTGTGTGTGATTGAAAAACTTGGAAGTGAGTAGAGAGCTCTATAGGAAAATTCAAGATGAGATTAATAATAAAGAAAATATTAATTCATTATCTAAGGGGGAAGAGGGAGCACAAGTGCTTTAAAACATGCAGTGTTCTGGGAGTGGACACCAGATGGATACACTGGGGAATGTGCAGCAGACCTTGCAGACTTCCATGGAGCCATTGGTCTTACATTTTTGCCTGGTATTATGGCCCTTTCCCCATGAATCCAGCCAGAGCCAAAGTGTCCCTATTTCATGCCCACATCTTCCCCAGTGCTTACAGGCACAGGAGTATGGGCAGAAGCCCCCTGTGTGCATCTGCACACAGCTGCTTTAGCTGAGCACAGGCTGGGGCTGTTGGAAAGCTGCTGTGTGGTGCTTGGGGCTGCAGGAAGCTGTGCTGCTTTGGCCTGCAGCCACAAGTGGGACTGCACACAGATTTTCTCAGACCTATTAAAAAAAGTGTCTGTGCATCACTGGTGGAGTTAATCTGTGGTTAGATCAGCTAAGCAGGGATTACTGAGGACTGCTTGCATGTCACTGAGTACTTCCATCCTGTGCAGATTTCAGTGCATGCTACTTTCTGCAAGCAACTGTTTTATTCCTTTTTATTCTCTCTTCCTAGTGATGGCTACACTGCAGTTACCAGCCACCAACCTGGCAAACTTGGCAAACTTACCACCAGGCACCAAGCTGTACCTGACCACCAACAGCAAGAACCCTTCTGGGAAAGGAAAACTGCTGCTGATACCCCAAGGAGCCATACTGCGAGCCACAAATAATGCTAGTTAGTCTTGCAGGGAAATCTAATGAGTTAAATAATGTAATCACTGCATAATTAATGTTTGGTATTTTTGCTAGAAAGCATCCTGGTGCTGTGGAAATCAGTAATGTGATAGGGTTTCTTTGTTCACTACCCCATATATGGTGCTTTTTAAGGCTGAGATCTCACAAGTGGCTTTTGTTTTCAGTGAAACTGCTTTTCATGCCATGCTCTCAATGCAGAAATGTTTTTTCAATTAATAGGCCTGTGAATGGAACTCCCAGTGAAATACCTGCAGCTGGGGCAGTCCAGCTTTGATAATCTCAGTGGCAGCAGGGAAGATCACATATTTGTGATGTTTATGACAGAGCCATGAGTATTTTTTCACCCTTGTTTCTTAATGAGAGACTGCAAAAAGTCACCGTTCAGGCTGTTCCTTCTGGAGGCAGACAATATCAAAGTGTCACTAAATTATCACTGCTTGATATCCATGATCTGTTATTATGTTAACAAAATTGCCTTGACAGCCAGTAAAATTAAAATTAAGAAGGCAGTGAGATTCAGAGTGTTTCCATAGCTTTTGCTGCAGATCCATAACCTGCAAAAGAGTGATGAAGAGATTGTTCTTTTGCTGGACAGCATTTTCATTTCATAGAAAGTTCAAAACAGCCCAAAATGAACTTTGCTTGTCTACCAGCCTTCCTTATCTCCCCAATAGCTCCTTTGCTCATGGCATTAGTTGATCTGTAAGGGAGCACAGCAGCACAGCTGAACTCTTCTTTACTGAATAATAACATTACTTGACTGCAAAACACGAAGCACCAAATGTCTGGCAAAGTCTTCTCAACTACCTGTATATACACAGGAATGCTTTAGCAGCTGTTGGATTACCAAAGGGTCTTTTCCTCTGGTTACAGGTCTTCAGTCTGGTTCTTCTACTAATAGTGGAGGAGGAGGAGGAGGAGGAGGAGGAGGGGGAGGAACCCAAAGCACAAGCAGTAACCTGTCACAGCACCTCACCTATACATCCTACATCCTGAAGCAGACACCCCAGGTCAGTGGCACAAGCACCTCAGTGGAAGCACATTGGCATTTCAGGCTGCAGGGGTGTTAGGTGGATGTCCTGTAATTCTGTAGAATGTGAAACATTCTGGGACTCTGATCTGGATCTTACTTGACATTTCTCCTGCTCTGCTTCCATCAGAAGGTGTTCTGCAGCAGGAAGGCTGCATCCAGCTCTTAGGGCGGGAGCACCCAGTGTAGCAGTGCTTTGTTTCAGAAGATGAAATGTTGTGGCTACATTATAGCCACAAGCTTTTATCTGTTATTGACATTCCTAGATTACTGTTGACTTAACTGTGTTTCAAAGTGCTGACCTCCCTGATTTCTTTCTGGAGCAGGGCACCTTTCTGGTTGGCCAGCCTTCACCTCAGGGCTCTGGGAAGCAGATGACTCCAGCATCAGTTGTTCAGGGCAGTGTAGGAGTTGGAGCATCTTCCACACAAGGACAAGCCCTAAAAGTGATAACTGGACAGAAAACAGCTCTGTTTACACAGGTAATGTGCAACTGATGTGTTTCTCTCTTACTAGTTTTGTCAGATAAAGTACAGGAACCACAGCCACACAAATGAGAGCGTTTCCTTTCACAGTTGTTTGGTTTGATGTGGAGTTTTGTAAAATTGTGGTGCTGGCTGTACCACGATGAGGAAAGCACACAAAGGCTTACTTTCATCAGACTGCAGATTTCCAGCTTTCTTTTCTCAGAAGGGGTCAGCTTGCAATCTGTGTAAGCTTGGAGTTGCTGCTTTGTAATGGGCTCTGGGATTTCTTAGTGAAATGGAATTGGAAAAGTGAGTAGAGTTAGCTGCAAAGGGTCACCTGATAAAGCTCTTTAAAAATCTTTGGATTTGGTACCCCTCAAAGTTTCTTCTTATAAAAAGTACCAAGTAGTCTCTATTAAATTGAAATTAAGAGTACTTGCAGTTGATTATCTAAAATTCAAGATTGATAGACATTTATTTGCAAAGTCAACACTTACAAAGCTGATTTCTGAGGTGATAATTTTGTTCCAGCAATTACTGCCAGAATTTGATTTTTTTCAAAAGTATTTTGGAAATACTTTCTAGTAATATAAAAAGCATTTCTCGTGTTTGTTTTGTTGTTGTCTTGATTTGTTTTTTAAAAATAACTTGAAACCCTAATATATGTTTTCCTTATTCTGCATTCTTTTTCAAAGGCTGCATCCAGTGGACAGACATCACTGGTGAAAATATCAGATGGGTCTATAAAATCAGTGCCTGCCTCATCCCAGCTCTCCAAACCTGGCACCACTGTGCTGAGAGTATCAGGAGGTGTCATCACCACTGCTGCTGCTCCTGCCGTGGCCCTCCCCACAAACGGGGTGGCCCAGGTGAGAAACAGCACTGCCATGTTCTGTAGTGCAGTGTTTGCACTCAGACAGTCCCAGGGAAGGACTTGTTCTGCTTTTCTCTCCTGTTGGTGTCCTCCACAGTCAGCTTGCTGGAGGGACTGCTCTTCCTTGTAGCAAGCAGCTCTAAGCAGCCTGTGAGTGCTCCTGGGAGCACAGGCCCTGCACAGTGCTCGGTGCCCAAGCTGCTGGCAGCATCTGCTGGGCCCTGGCTGTGTGCAAAGGCTGGCACTGCTCTCCTCCCCAGGACAGCTGTGCCACTGCAGCCTGGCAAGGAGCTGCTTTGGCATGGAGGGGGGGCAGGACATAGAGGATTTGCATTCCTAAAGTGAATGCTTTTGTGGAGGGATGCAGCCATGGATCCAATAGATGCAGGCTGTCCACCTGGAGTGGAGCTGCAGTGCATGGAGAGCGGAGGAGGCAGCAAAATGGAGAGTGTAGAATTCACTCTGAGCCTCTTTCTTTCTATGAGCCTCTAATCTGTGCCTCCCAAATGCCTGTGGAGAGTTGATGCCATTCTGCCTCCATTCTCTATGTGCCATCATTGTGGGGGGGCTTTTGGATATGAGCTTCAGAATGTCATGCTTCCTAACAATTGATAGATAAAAATTTGGTGTTGCTACTTTTATTGCTTATATTACCTTGTTGTGCTTATTTTTGGATCACCTGTGACATGAAAAGGGATTTGTTATCCCTCTCTGCCTCTTATGCAGCAAACAGATAGTGCAGCTTCCAGTTCATCATTTTCTGGAACTCCTGCAGCAAAGACACCTGGACAGCAGCACCAAATCTGTGTAAGCCAGAGCCAGTCTACTTCATCAGTAGTGAATAAGACTGCGACTTCCAGTGTTGTAAGTGTTGCTTCCTTGATGACTACAGCAACGCCTGTGACAGGAAAAGCTACAGTATCAGGTATTAAACTCCCTTCACACCATTCCTAGAGAAAGCTAGAATCCAGGTGTGAGTTCTCTACATGTTTTCACTATAAATGGAAGTATTTAGTCACCTGCGTTTCTGAGTGTGTGAAAGTCATGCTTTCTAAAACATCTTACTAGCAAAACTTTTGGCTTAGCCAAGGAAATTTCTAATAATTTGGCATCCTTTTGACATTGACTGTATCTGTTGCAAATAACAGCACAAGTTGCCTTTTGGTGTTGGAGAGGGATTTTAGTTTTCATGTCAAATTTTCACTAGAAGATGCATTTTGCCTGTCAGGAGCAGAGTGTTTCACTATCAACATACCAGCAGTACTACAGACTTGATTAGTTTGTGAAAGTGAAACTCCATTGTATGCAGAGAACGTGCAGAATTTGGCTCTGTGGCTTTGAATCTGCTCTGTTGGGATTGAGAAGGAGAGAGATGCTGATTAGAGGGAATTGGAGCCTTTGAAGTCAAAATTCATTAAGTACTGTGAAGTAGGCTGGATCTGGATCATTCAGGTTAATAAAAATGAAGTAATAAAAATGGGCTGCCCTTATGTGGAAGGGAGTTCTCCTTATTTAGTTTTATTGTATTTCTAGCAGGTCTAGGAGTTATGAGTTAAAATTGGAAATTTTTGTTCAGATTAATTTACCTGCTGGCATGTTCTGTTCACTTGAAGTGGTTTCTTATGAAGTGAAAGCAGAATAGAAATACAAAATAGATAAAATAAGTGACACTGAGCTCATCTGACAGTGTCTTTTTAAAGCAGCTCTTCTTGTTTCCTCTCTAGTCAAACTTAAACTTCTCCTTTCTTATGGGTAGGTTTTACCCAGAGCTTGAAAATAAACAGCATAGACTGCTAAGACTAGCAGAATCCTTCAGGAAGCAATTCAGTATTTTTCTCTTTGCAAGGAAAGCAGCCAGGTGGGTTTTTTGGGAGGAAATAAGCCATACTAAATAGTTTTCAGCTTTAAACTCCCATTTACGTGTGAGAATGCTGTCTAGATTTTGTTTTGGGGATTTTTTTTATAACCTGAGGCGTTTACTTCATCATGGAAAACTCTTTCTTCAAGAAACTCAGACGGAACAGTGGCTATAAAACAGTTATTTCAATGTAATAACAAAGAAAAACTCAAAGCTATAAAAAATCTGATCATTTGTGTTTTTAAAGGCAACTTTTTGAAAAGGATTTCAAACTTTCCCTTGTTTTGTATCAAGCAATGTCTCCCACCCACCAGGCTGATAGGGTTTATTGAAGAGGTCCCTTCCTAACAGCCTTACTGTTGGGTCCCTTGCTGTCCTACCCTGACACATCAGCCTGTCCCACACGAAGGAATGGGTAGCACTAGGTGAGCCTTCTTGCTTGCAGGTGAAAGCCTAACTGACCAGTGCTGGGCATCCTTAAAAAACAAGAAAAACCAAGACATCTTCACCAGAAACTTTCATGTTTAATACTCAGAAGGCAGCTGTGTTTCAGTACTGCTGCTACTACTATTAATAATGTCAAAACAAATCATAGTTACGAAATTGCCATGGTGAAACTAAGAAGTTTATTGTTGTCAATGTTTTAAAATAGAAGCCTGCTAAATTTCCACGATCTGAAAAAAAATTAGCAGCAGATTAAATACAATTACATGGAAAATAGCCAGTTTACCAGTAGAAAGGATTGACACAGTGTTAGAGTGGTGGCTGTGGTGCCTTGGGGTGTCATCACAAGGAGATGACATCTCCTTGTGCAGGAGAGAGCTGGCAGACAGGTAATGAGCTCTCCTCACCCGTGGGACTGTGGCACAGCTTGCAGTTGTGCTGATTTCTCCTGAAGTTACTGAGTGGCACCACTGATAATGCTTTTTATATCTGAATGTTCTGCTTGTTCTTTTGGCCTTGACTAAAATCAGGGATTTAGTTCAGTCTCTAGTTTAATGTACTTCTCAGCCTCATTAGCCATCCTTATGGGTGTGTTCAGTGCATGTTGCAGAGACTCACAACACTCAGTTCTTGTGTGTCCTTTGTCAGACCTGCTGCACAGCAGCCTTGGGCTTGTCCCATAGTTGGAACAGGGTTGATTGTGCCCTGCTGCCTGCAGTGGATGCTGCTAAGCTGAACTGCAGAGGTGTGAGTGGCGCTGGGATACCTCCCTGAGAGCAGCTGTGTGAGTACAACAGAGCTGTAATTCACTGGCTTACCACAGCCTTGAGCACAAGGTCTGGTCCTCACAAGAGTGTTTTACTCTGCTGAGCCTGCTTCAGTAGAAAGGTTTGTTACATCAACTTTTGCTTAAAATTCCTTAGGTAATGAAGAGATTTGCTTTACAACTCTCAGAGTGCTGTGCAGCATGTAAGAGTGTGCACACTGCAGTGCAGCACTACAGCGTTTGAGCCATCACTTGTGTCAGTGGAAACTCGTCCTGACAGCTCACCCAACTGTGGCTTGTTAAAAGGGTGGCAGTGCTAGGTTACATGCCATCCTGCTTCAAGCAGAAAGGGAGAGAAGTAGCTGGAGATAAACTAACTGGTGTGTTTTATTTAACATTTTGTCTTCCGTTCTTCTTGCAGGGTTGCTAAAAATCCACTCAAATCAGTCTAGTCCACAGCAGGCTGTTCTGACAGTTCCCAGCCAGCTTAAACAGCTCGGTGTAAACACAGCTTCTGGAGGTGTTCAGACAATACTCATGCCTATGAACAAAGGTAAAGGGCAGAGGAGGTTGACAGATGGTATTTGAAAATCTCCTTTGACACAGGGTAGCACTTGGTCACTCTTGGCATACATGGTCCAAAGTAGAGGTAGAAGAAATTGTAGCAAGGAATTCATCCCTGAACTTTGTGCTGCAAAAAAAGTGTTACTTCTGAAAATGTTAATTTGTTGAAATGTATGAAATTTGATTTTTTCTTCTTTGTTGCCCCCTCCCTTTTTTTTTTCCTGTTCGTCTCCAGTGCTACAGTCACTTTCTACCAGCAAAGTTTCAGCAGTTTCAGCAGTCACAGCAGCAAGTACAGTTGTCCCAAGTCCCTCCACGGCATCCATTGCTAAAGGTAAAAAGGGATTTCTTAGTAAGACAAGTAGTAAAAAAAAAAAGCTTATGCTGCTTTATGCAAATGGCCTAACTATTAGACTCCATGACTGTGGGTTCCTTTATTTCCATTATTAGTAGAGTTTAAATCAAGTTAAAATGACACCTGGGAACTAGGAATTTAACAGTGACTTCCCCTTCGACAAACCCCATGGTGTAGACAAGTATGGGGAAAAATGAGAATGTTCTAGAAAGCTACAAGGAGTACCTTAAACACTCATTGTTTCAGTCCATATTTGCAGAACTGCATAGAGCAGCAGGTATTCAACCCCAGATCCTGCTGTTCTCAGCCAGATGTACTGGAGGTTGCTTTCCAGCAGCACTAGATGCAGACAGCACATGTCCCTGTGCACACAGAGGGGAAAGAGATGCACACAGTCCTTCCCAGAATGAAGCATGGGGCAGAGCTGACACACCTGAAGTTCAGTTCTGGCAGAACTGCCACATCTCTCTCCATCCCAGCTGTGTGACTAGACTGCCTGGTTATTTGGGTTTGGCACATCTCTCACTGCTTCTGTCTCACCAGAGTTCTCCCCTAGACATGAGAAAGTTCATGTCAGAATCAGTGATTGTTTGCAGATTGGCCAGGCAGTTCAGTTTAGATCAGGCAGTCTTATACAAAACAGCAGCAATTGATTATGCAGGTTTTCTGACAAGGATGAGATGTGAGCACGTGGAGATCTGTGGGGGGAATGTGTTCTGGTAGGTCTCTCAGCAAAATTGGAGGTCAAATTTGTTCATGCTTAGCAATGAGACTGCAAACAATAAGGGATGTTATGTAAGACTTTTAGTCTTACTGGAGTCTCACAAGACTGTCTGGTACTTTTATCAAGCTGACTGTACTTTTTTGTCTTAAAATTGTTCTGTTTCTTTGAAGTTAAGATGGAGCCTGATTCAACAGGACAAAACTGCAGTTCTGTGGGTACCCAAGAAAGCCAAGCAGCAGTTAAAACAGAAGAGAGCTCTGAACTTGGGAATTACGTTATCAAGTAATTGTTCATTTCTCTATAAGGATTTTTGATCTTTGAAGTGCTGGGGAATGGAGATGTTTCTAGGGATGCGTGCAGTAGTGTTACTTTGACCTAGAAATACATTACAAAATCTGTCCCATGCACTGCTGTATCTGTACTAATCCTGTTGGGTGGCATTTGTTTCAGACAGTGTTGGAACGTTTTATTTGTGAATGGATTTGTATGCATGGTTCATGAAAGGGGAAAAATTATTTGAAGATTTGCAGTTGTTTTGGGCTTTGTTAAAATGACAAGCTGCTAAAATCTCTTTATCATCCTCTGCTTGTATAAATCCCACTGCCATTGCATGTCCTTAGTCAGGTCACACTGCCCAGTGAAACACAGCTCTGAAATGGGGCATCTGAAATAAGTAGAACTGTCCACCTTCAGGACTCTTAAGTCTTGTTAAGCTCATATACTTGTGTAATTACTTAGTATGAGGGCTGCTTTGCGTCAGAATTTGTATTAAATAATAATGAGTATTTGATCACTGGATGCTGTGAAATCCAGTGCCTTGTTTTTGATGCTTTTGCAAGTGCTTGTTAGTGCTTTTTCACCCGAACTCAGACTGCAGAATTTTCTCTGCATATTTCTTGCAGTCTGTAGGATGTCTCTTCTGATCTTGATTCCTCCAACTTTCCTGTGTCTGTGTTTTGTAAAGTTTTGTTATCTCAGTGTATCCCTGCCGACATTACCCTGATGGAGAGTGTAAGAGACAGGAATAAATCTTCAGTCACTACACACTGAAAATTATCTTCGTTATAAGATAACTATTGGAAAATACAGTCCCTGACAGTTTAATAGACTATGGCTGGTTAAGTCAAGTCCCATAAATACAAAGTTTCCCATGTTTCCTACTGGGGCAGTCTGCACTAGTTACCCCTCTCAAAGTAATGTTGCAGGGATTTTCTCCAAGCCTGCCTTCATTTTCTTCAGCCTGACAAATGCAGCTTCAGAAGTGGACACTGGCAAGAGGAAGGGCTGTTTGAAATACCTTCTCTGGATTGGGGTGGGGTGTAACAGTTTATCCTCACGCTGTTATTTATAATGCCTTGGGGCTAAAGGCTTTAAACCATGCAGTGATTTTAAAACCTTTTACATCTGATTCATTGCTTCCAACAGCAATCTTCACTGTGATTCTTTTTATCCCTTGCAGCATAGAATATTTGGAGAACATCCAGCAGCTTTTAACAGCAATAGTGAAGAAGGTTCCATTAATTGCTGAAAAAAGTAAGTAGTAAATGAAAAGGCTTTGCTCTGTATTGTCAGTATATCAACAGAATGCCTTGCATACTCTATAGCCACAGAAGTTATTAAAAGGTGGAATGAAATGAAGCCATTCTCCTAGAGAGTTTACCCCAGGGGTTATTCAGAAGATGCTTAGAATTAGGTTCTTCCAGTAATATCAGATATGTTGTTAGCAGTTAAAATCTTTCATCTGTTTTTTTTTTTCCATTAGAAATACATTGTATTTCTTCACATAATGGCTGGAAGTAGGCCTTTTTTTTCCTGGTTTGTCCTTAATGGATTTGCTTTTTGCTTTTCTTTTTTCGTTTTTGAAATCTAAAACAGAGGTTTCATCGAGCTGGCAAATACAATAACAGCTCAACACTGAAATCTGTTTGTTATTGGGGGTTTTGCCTTCTTTTTTAAACAAAAGGGGATAATTTGCAGAGAAACATTTTAATCTTGTGTAGTACTTTATTATTTCATTCCTCTTACTCATGTACATAACTGAAAATATATCAGCTTTCCCTGGGAACTAATGCACTTTGAACGAGTGGTCCTGGAGTCTGGGTGGGCAGACCCTCTCAAGCAGAGGCAGCAAAGAAAGAGCGAGAGGCACAGTAAAGCTTTCATCACATACAACTCTCATGCTTTTGCCAGGAAACCTTTTCACTGTTGTTTCATTTTTATGTTGTAATTTGTTTGGAAAAAAAAAATCCAGTTTTTCAAGGGAAAATACTTTGGCTAGTAAGGCAGACTTTCAGGTCTACATAATGGAGTTCTGGGGGGGAAAGAGGCTTAAAACAGCCCATTGCTACAGGTTCTGGGTGTATGACCCAAGAGGGAGGCTGGTTTTGCATTCAAAAACCAGTATCAGTCTCTTTTGGAGGGAGCACAGCATTTGTAAGAGTTGGTTGCAGTCATTGAGCCTGTGAGCATGAAATGCATGTTCCTCTTCCTCTTTGCTAAATAACATCAAACCCAGAATGCATCTTACTTCACTTACTGAAAAATTAATAGAGTTTTTGATTTTGTGTTTTTTTTAGGTGAGGATGTAAGCTCTTTTTGTGCCAGTTCAGTGGAACAGTATTACAGCTGGAACATTGGGAAGAGGAGAGCAGCCGAGGTAATTCTCTCCTCCAATGTTTCATAAGCAGTCTCTAGGAACACAAGGAGGATTTAGAAATTATGGAACCTTCCTTGTTGTCTATCTGTTTTCTGAATAAATCTATTATTTTAAATGGCAGCATTCCTTACTGCAAGGTGCACTGACTTGTGTTCAGACAGTGATCCAGTTTATTGTTCACAGGCTTTCTCAAAAAGGAAGGATGCTGAAGGTCATTTTTCAGTTGATTTGTAGTAAGATGGTTTTTGAAGCATTTTAAAGCTCCAAAGTCTTTCAGACTGTTAGTACATTATCCTCATCCCTCCTCTGTGGCATGTTACATTCAAGGGAATTTTACAGAACATAATTTATCAATCTTGTTATGGGATTGTGTCTGCTTTCTGTAGGATGAGAGTTGAGGGATCTGACATAAGCTGTACTAGTGCTGATGTGGATTGTCAGTTCACCAAAGAGAAATATTTCAGTTAACTTGGACCTTTTCTATTGTGGTTTCCCCTCTGTCTTCCTAACTTTGCCATCTTGCTGTGGAGTTTTACAGGGAAGATGTTAACACTGAATTAGATCCTCTGCTGTTGCCAGCTTAAATGATCAAAGAGCATAACCAAATTTTAAGAACATACTTCACTCTAGTGGATTTCTTGCACCATGCTATCTTTGGTGTTACTTGGGAGATGAAACATTTCAAGTCAAGAGGAATGTAACTAGGCCCCTGTAAATGTGTGTCTCTTTTCTTGAGATGTTTTGTGGATGATAAAGCAAAATTTAAATGACTGTCAGAAGTCACTATGACCCTGGATAAAGTCATGTTCCTTTTCTGTTTCCCTTGCAACCTGGATTATGGTTCTGGGCTGTAAGCTAACCATAAATATTCTAGCCAGTGTGATGAGCTCTCTCTTTGGTTGGTCACAGTGGCAACGAGCAATGACAGTGAGAAAGATCCTTCAAGAAATCATAGAGAAGTATCCCAGGTTTCACAATATCACACCCCTGAAAACAAAGCACGTGGTGCACTGGTGTCGGTGCCATGGCTACACCCCCCCTGACCCTGAGACCCTGCGCAACGAGGAGGACTCCATTGAGGACGTGCTGACACAGATAGACAGTGAGCCAGGTGAGTGTGGGGGGACAGGGAGCTCCTTTCTGCTAAAGACACTTTTTATTAAATGCCTATGTACAAGCACATCTGCAGAAGGGCGTTCTTACTTTCTTTGTTTTCACTTAATTCACTCCAGAGTAACAAAAGAGATGGTAAGGGCAAGCCTGTAAATGGGGCTGTCCCTTGTACCTGTCACTCCTGCTGTTTTTCTGGGCCTTCTCTTTGTTTTTATTGTGTTTTGGGGCCCTTGGAGGCTCAGTGTAGATGAATCTCATGAAAGATGATCCTTGCTCCACAATGTAATCATTTATAAGTGGATACACGAAGTAAACATAGGGAGTAATGACATTTCTGTCCTTGGGTAGGCTTAGCCTGTGTTAAGACCATGCAAACACTCTGAATGAGTTCAGGTACAAAACTAAAAAAAAACCCAAACCTGGCAGTGGCAATGTAGAGCCGGTGGGGGTTAATTCACCTCCAAAAGTGAGGTGACTTGGCTCATGTGAAGCTTCATGCTTTGTATTACAGCTACATTATTCCACTAGCATAGCTCTAGGATCCCCTCAGTTCATTTCAGTATGTATTAAAATCACGTCTTTAATTTTGTCCATTCTTCACGGTTAAGCTCTCTTGTTTCACCTTCAGATAATCCCTTTCCAAAAGCTGAATGTTTTTCTGTTCTGTTCATACAGGGATTTAAGATATTTCACAGAAGTGTATGGAATTGATAATATGTTGTAAAGTCTGGCCCTGCATTGCAGTTGTTGAAGGTGGAAAGGAAGCCTACATCTATCTTCTAATATTTTTATCTAAATCACTGTGTTTTTCTTTGAAGAGTAGAATCTTTTTACCGCATAGCTTTGCACTGAAGGTTTTGCTGGCTTGTGTCAATCATGCAGAGAAGAGGTTTCCTTTTGCCATTCCACTGTGAGCCTGTCTTGAAGCATGATAATGCTCATCACAATGTAAAAGATGATTTAGCACTACATAGTGCCTACATGTTAAAGCTCCACTTCTCTAAGCAAGTCGAAGAGCATCAGACTGATTTGCCAGTTGCCAAAAAGCTTAGAAAGCTTCTGTGAGAATGTCTGGGAGACTGACATGAGGCTGGTTTTGTATGAAATGCAGCCTTCTCGATTGGTGTAGGAGCAGATGTGGGAGAGAACCATGAGTGTCATGAAGATATAATTAGAAGGCTCTCAATGACTGTTTGCATTTCTGTTCATCCTTATATTTGGTAGGCACTACAAAAATAACTTGCAATTACGTTAATTTCGTACCATATTTTGAGTGTGCATCTGTTTATAAACAGCTTTCCATAACCTATCATGTGTTTAATTGATTGCTTCTATTTCAGAGTGCCCTTCATCTTACAGCAGTGGTGAGGAGCTGTGCCGAAAACTGGAGGAACTACAGCAGTTTCTGAAACAAGAGGCAGAACATGAAGAGGAAGTAGATATTCTCAACTTTAGCGAGCCATTAAAAATAAACATTAAGAAAGAACAGGAGGAAAAGCAAGAGGAGATGAAGTTCTACATGGCTTCCTTGCCTGCATCAGAGTTCGTGAGGGACACTGCTGAGAAGGTAATAAGTGAATCATAAAGTTAATTAGAACTGTTTTTAAGCTAGGTGTGTTCTTACATTTATTTAGTTGCATTTCTTTCATCCTTCTATATAGGCCTTGGGACTTTTTAATGAAATTTTTTTACACGTCTTGGAAAAATGGACCTTTTGACTCCAGACACACAGCTGCCAATTCTGGCAGGGGAAAGGGAAAAATGCCAGCTAGGAGTTCACTTCAGGGTAGCTGTTTTGCAGGGATTAGTACAGAAGAATCATCTTGAAAAGCTAAAAGCAAAGATAAATGAGGGATGAGGAGCGCTAGCACTGAATTCTTCTTGTTCTATCATAGAAAGATGTGGACTTGTTGCTTGGACCAATGGTGTGTAATAGCAGTTCCTGAAAAGGGGTTGTGGTAAAACTCACCAAACTTCTCTGCTGTTTGGATTTCTTCCTCCTGTTCAGTTTAGGGCAGGAGAGAGGGAACTTTTCTGTTACAGCAACAGGAGAGGGAGGGGAGACTGACTTGGCTTGTAGGAAAGAGTGCTTGCTGTTGTAGCAGAGCAGTAGGAGGGGTTTGCATGGAGCAGCTGTTGGAGAAAGAAAGGATCCCTGTCCCCACCTCACCTGCTGACACGAAGGGACAAAACTTTGGCTCTGCAGTGTGTCTGGTGTGACATAGGTGACAAAGGCACGGGCACAGTGAGACTGGAACTGAGGGATGAAACACTTTTGATGTGGAACCCCTGTGCCAGGAGTACCGTTGAAAGTGGTTTCAGTGGCCATAGTTGGGTGCAGGAAGGATGTTGAGTAGATGTATTGAAGATATGTACAGTTTTAAAATGGAGCTTCCATTCTCAACCCAAAGATAGTGCAGCCTGGGTTTTGTGTGGACTTTCTGAAACAAAAACTAAAACCTGCTTTTGTTTCTTCTGACTTTCAGAGATATTTCTACAGGCTGTGCTAATTTTACCCAGATTTTTTTTTAAATTAAGCTTGAGATTATACTGCTTGAAAGCTCTGTATGTCTACTTGCTTCTCTTTTAACTACCCTTTGTATTTGGGCTTTTTTCTGTTAATCTTATTAAATTCTAGTACAATGTGGGTTGTGTTTTTTGATATACTAATTCTTTTTTCCCTCTTATATCTTATAGATAGGGATTTCTTTTCAACCTGCTGAGGTACAAAAGAATGTTTATGCATCTGTAATAGAAGATATGATTTTAAAGGTAAGAAATTACTTCACAAGAAGGTCTTGTCTGTAATTGTATCAACTCAGCAATTATAAAAAAAAATGGAATATCTTTATGAATGTGCATTTATCAAATCAAAGTCTGTCTTTCTACATTAATAGATAGATGCTTAGCTGCCCAAAGAGGTTTATATACTTTTGTGTGGGTTTTCAGTTTTCTCACCTGATGTGTTGGCTTGGACACAGAATAGTGATTTGCAAATTCTCATCGTCACTAAGATACTGACTCATTCTGTAATTTTGAAAGTAACTCCTTGCTTTATCCTTCCCTTCAAAACTGGGAGGAATCTTTCAGATTGTGTAAAACTTGATTGTTTTATACAAGGTTAGCTATATTTTCCTAAATACCACTCAGTTACTTTGCCCAGGTTGTCTCTGCTGGGAGACTGCTGACTGAATTTCTGTGGAGAGTAACAATTCTGCTATGTGTGAGAAACTATTTCTCTATCATAATCACTTCTGGGAAAACAGAGAAATGGTTTTGCACCAACATTTGAACAGCAGGGATCTGGAGTTCTTGGGTTTGGACTGAAGGCTAACACAGATGATTTCTAGCAGCACTCTGGTGTATTTCATGCCAAAGATGATTTTTGGAGTTGTTAATACAGACTGCAGCTTATCAGAAGATGAGTTTTACAAAAGCTAATTGATTGCAGGTGGCACATGCAGTCATGTGCACGCTTGTGCTGTGCTCCCTGTTACTTGCCACAGTTGAACTCTGATACAGATACATCCATTTGTAGACACAGATTGTAGCCATCAGGTTGCTCCATTATAACTGTAGTTATGCCAGCTTTCCTCACTGAGCGTTGCAGAAACCTCTCCTCTGCTCTTGATACAGCACAGAAAGCCAAGAGCCTTAATTAGCTTTTGACTGAACCTTGGTTAAGCTAAGTGTTGGGCATATGGCTGCACAGGCTGGGAGGTTTCTGTGGCGGTGTCTTGACACAAGCCTGATGACAACAGGGAGAGGGCTGGGGTGCAGGCACCAGCTCCCAGGAGAATGTCTGCAGTCTGCCATGTACAAAACCAGCTTTGGTGTGTGAGAGGAAGGGTCCTGAAATGCTCTTGGAAGCACAGACTCTGGAATGCCTGATCCACCCTGCTGGGCATGTACAGCTCTGCAGATCTAGGGGGAAAGCAGGCTGGGCAGTTGCAGCCTGAGCTCTGGGCACCTCTGGGTCTCTTTCTGTTAAATAAATTCATGTCTTAAGTAATAAAACTCACTCGGGCGTCTTGAACTGCCCTGTGCTGATCATTTGAGGATTGAAGCCAGCCAAAATTTCAGCTGCTTTTACACTGATATTTGGGTAAATAGCAAGTTCCTTTGCTCTTTTTGTCATGCTGCCTCCTAATGCTGTCTCTTGTCTCAGGCCACTGAACAGCTGATGAGTGATATCCTACGGCAGGCGCTCGCTGTGGCGTACCAGACAGCTCCTCACAACAGGTACAGCACGGGGCTGCTCTGCCACCACTCACACTGGCACTGAGGGTCTAATGGCCTTGGGAATTTAGTCAGGCTTTGTGTGGCTCAGACCACGAGACTGAGGGAATTTATGGACTGTACTCTGAGAAGAACCAAGCCTTTAGAGGCATTTGTCATTTCGTGGCTCCCTAGTGGGAAAGGATGGGAACATAAACATTAATAACCAAGGCAGGATTCTCTGGTGTTGCCATGCCTCTGAGGCAGATGAGCTGTTTCTGCAGAGCCACATTGGAAGGACCTTCTCACTCTTGTCCATCTCAGGTTACTGTGTAGACAGCTTAGCCATGGCCTGACAGAACTTAACCTAAATAATCTCTTTATTTTACTGATAAACACTCTTCTGCATCAGATGCTGAGAGATTTTTATAGAATCATAAAAACGATTTGGATTGGAAGGGACCTTAAAGATCATCTTGTTCCACCCCATGTCATAGCAGGGACACCTTCCACTATCCCAGGTTGCTCCAAGCCCCTGGCCTTGGACACTTCCGGGGATGGGGCAGCCACAGCTTCTCTGGGCAGCCTGTCCAGTGCTTCACCACCCTCAACAGTAAAGTTTGTCTTTAATACTTAATGATTAGGCCACATTTTGATTTCTGTTCAGCAGCATGATTTGGGATAGCTGAAATTCATTTTAAAAAACCCAAACGCTATGAGAAAACACTCAGTTTAAATATTCACTTGTATGCAATATATAAATACTTATATAATATTTTAAAAAGTATGTATACGTTTATATATAGAAGTACATACACAACAATTATGCTATACAAGTTCAAGAATTCATACTTTAGTACTTGATTTTCATGTCCCAGTGCCCAAGAGGCTTCCCCCCAGTCATTTGAGTGGCTTTTCTTGTGCTGTGGTATTTTAATGCTTTCCCTGCATTGCACAAACACCTGCTCTTATATCCTTTTTTTCTTTGATTGTTATTTTTTACTTGCTGCTTTATGGACATGTGTTTTTTTGTGTATTATAATAGCATGTCTGATGCATTCCCTGCAGGACTCCAAGAGAGATCACAGTGATGAATATTCACAAAGCCATCTGTAATATTCCCTTTCTTGACTTCCTCACAAACAAACATATGAAGATACTAAACGAGGAGCAATGAAATAGAGCAGAGAAGGTGCTACAGGAAAGGTGGATTTATGACTGAAGTTGGGCTGACAAATCCAGTATTTCTGTAGGACACTACTACATTTATAACATTGGGCTACTAGATTGTTACCTCCAATTAAAGATGCACCTTAATGCAACAAAATGATGCTCTGTTCCAAATCAAGTTGTTAAATGTCAGTGTTTACTTGGTAAGTGTATGTTCAGTGGCTGAACATTGTCAGTTTGCATCAAGTTGCTAGCTATGGGAGACTTCACAGGCCTGGTCCCTCTGAGACAGCTCTGCTGGTGAGACTGAACTGGTTTCTAAGATGGGAAATGATGTTTTTTAATGCATACATACGAGTTGGTTTCCCCATGCAGTGAGCAGGGCACTTGCTTTGGCACTCTAAATTTGGGAAAAGTCAAAGGTAGCTCTGTAAGGTGTGCCGTTTGAGTAGATGGGTGGATTAGGTGTGGATTTGGGAGAGCAGAAGGCTGATGGCAGCAGCAAACTTGGCCGTTCTTGCCTGAGCATGATATATGTGACTGAGAACACGGCTGGGTAGATTTGTCAGCACTTACTCAGCTAAGTGTCAGCTAACCGAATTCCTTGCCTCTCTAGAGGAGGTGTCAGGTGCCACCTTTCTTAAGTCACCTTGGAAAGGGTAGACTGACACATCCTCGAGCAAAATGAACAAACTGCATTTAGGCTTGGAAAGTTTTGACTGACCATTTGTGCAGCATGGGAAAGGAGAGCAACAAAGACCATATTCAGGCTTTGTGGGCTTGGGCTGGCTGAAACGCTTTGCTTGCTCAGTGAGTGCCTCCCCAGGCTGCCAGAATGTTTGAAGAGTATTGGAGGGCAGATGACCAGCGGTATTGTACAAGTCCTAATGTTGTAGCAGTGTTCACCAAGTATCAGCCTAAACTGTGAAGTGCTGTGGGAGCAGCACACTGCTTTGGCTTAAGTTCTGTTCAACACAGAGAGGCCTGGTGGGATCGAAAAATCAAAGATTTGCTGCTTGTGGGGAGATCCTCTGATGTCTTGACTGCAGGAAGAAGTTCTGCTACTAACCCCAGCACTTACCTGTCTCAGGAACACCACTGGTGAGGGAGACATGTCTGCAGCGTGGCTGTCAACACCTTGCTGAAGAAAGCTGCGTTGACAACATCCTGATCACCCCACATCCACCACCCCTTTGTCCTGCCCCACGGGTGCTTGCTGGTAGTGTGAATAAGCATTGTGAAGTTGGTGGGACTCTGTGGGACTGTCGTGTTTTCAGCATGCTTGTTTTGTCTGGCAGTGCTGTCACGGGTGGAACATGGGCCAAACAGCCAGAACCTCCAGTGCGCTGATCTCAGCTGGGTCTCTGATCTTCTGCATGGCCTTTGATTTAATCACTCTGTGCCTCAGTGTCCCCATCTCTGAGCATGGGGAGCAGGATACCTACCTCACAGGGGTGTACTGAGGCCTCGCTCTTGTTGGTGCCGTGCTTTGACAATACAAAGCCTTTTATAAACATTAAACTACAGTTACCTTTCTTGGCCCGGGGTAGGAGCAGAATGTTATCTTTTGGTGCTTTTTTGGGGCTAGAAGACAGGCAATGGTAACTACAGTAGCATACAGGAACTGTGAAAAATGCTTCAGCTAGAGGTTTCAGACTTGGAAGGAGAATAGTATAAGTTTTGATGCAGTTGTTAAACTGAAGAAAGCACTGTGTACCTCAGATGGAATGCCACCTGTCTTCTCCACCTTAAATAAAACTGGGGTGTGCAGGAAAGCCCCTCTCAGTTCATCATAGCTAACAGGGAGCTGCAGTTCTTTTGAATATAAGAGTGGCAGAACCTGACCCCTGAATCTAGGAAAATGGGACCAATGGATGAAATCCAAACAGCATTCAGAGAAGGACTTAAATGGCCCCTAGGAAGGACATTACAGATGCTCTGGATTCAAAAGCTTATCCTGGCTTGTTCGGGTGAGCTGAGTGCAGGATTGCCTGTGAAAGGAAAGGGCACAGCTTAGCCCTGACATTACTTTATCAGTGGAGGTCAGTGTGACGGAGTTGAGCAGCAGTGATTATATTTCATCTCAGTGTTGAGTTGGGAGGAATCCAGGTAGCTGGGCTTTGTAGGCTGTAGTGAACTTGGGGTCTGTACTGCTTTCAGGCATCCCTGTACACTTTATGAAAGAGAAGGGCATTTACAAGATCCCTGTCACTATCACGACAGCCTGCAGGTTCTGTGGGAATAGCTTCTGGGCAAACTCAGTCGTGGTATGATCTGCAATGACCTCGAGTACTGTGGGTAGTTTTGGGTGCCACAATAGAAAAAAAAAAAGATATTAAGCTATTGAGAGCATCCAAAGGAGGGCTACAAGGTTGGGGGGAGAAACTGAAGGAGGAGCAGCTACGGTCACTTGGTCTGTTCAGCCTGGAGGAGACTGAGGGGAGACCTCATTGTGCATCATTAGCATCCTCCCCAGGGGCAGGTACCAGTCTGCTCACTCATGACCAGTGACAGGACCCGAGGGAATGGCATGAAGCTGAGTTAGAGGAGGTTTAGGCTGAATATCAGGAAAAGATTCTTCACCCTGAAGGTGGCTGGGTACTGGAACAGGCTCCCCAGAGCAGTGGGCACAGCACCAAACCTGTCTGAGTTCAAGAAGCATTTGGACAATGCTCTCAGACACGTGGTGTGACTTGGGGTGACCTGTGCAGGGCCAGGAGTTGGACTCAGTGATCCTTGTGGGTCCTTTCCAACTCAGCACGTTCTGTGATTCTGTACACATGCATTTCCAGCCCCTGCCTCTTGCAGGCTTTGTTTCTGGGATTCTGATAACACCCAGAGCAGCTTTTGAGGATGCAGGAGCTCGTCTTTGGGCATCTGTTTGCAAATAGTGGCTTCTTTGCCTGTGTCCTGCTTTTCTGTGAGGAGTGGAGTTTCAAGAAAGTCCTGAACCTGGCCCTCCTGCAGGCAGGTACAGACCCCTTGTTCTTAATGGGGTTTTTGTAGTGGAGATCTATTGCTACATTTCTGAGCAACCACAGGTTATTCTCCTAGGAGATGCTATATTATTAGTATATAAAGTTTGCTGAAGAAAAATAAACTGTTAAAAGCAGGTAGAAAATCACACATTTGTTTAGTTCTTCAGATGTAGAAAAAGTTTGCAACAAGTTCTTTGCATTTTGAATAGTGGTGGGAGAAAAATTTGTTGGTGAGAAGTTCCTGTGGGAATTGCTTGGAGGTAAGATAGAGGTGGTGGAATTTCACACATCCCTTCAGGTGTTTGTGGAATGCTACAGATGCAGTGTGTTGAAATGTTACGGTATATTTCTCTGGCTTTCTGAAGAGTTAAAGATCTCTTTACGAATATTGCCCCTATTTGTAATGCTGAGTGTTTAAATCCTTCATGTTATCTGTATTATACTGTATAATGGTGTAATATACGTATGTTTACAATAAATTCTTTTATTAGCTGTGCTAGGATTGTCTTGACTGTCACCTGTCACTCAGAATTTCTCCAGATCCACAGATATTTTTGTGCTCTATGTATTCAGAATGTCGTAGTTAGTTCTGGATAAGAATTGATAGTTGAGGAATTGATCTGAAGGAAAAGGTGATTTTCCCCTTTTCTAGTTATTTTAAAAAGCTCCTGGTTTTGGAAGCTGGGGGAAGGGAAGCCAGGAGCAGAGCTCCTCCAACCTTTCATCTTCCAGAGCAGCCTGCTTAAAGACCAAGTCATTAGTTTATGTGGAAGACTTTTCAAAAGTAAGGTGGGTTGAGGTTGGCCAGCTGCCAGACGCCCACCCAGCTGCTGTCACTCCCCTTCAGAACTCAGGAGAAAGTAAAATGCCTCATGTGGGTCAGGATAATGTACCACACAATCACTAAAACATCTCTAAGGTCACCAAGTCTTCTAGTCACTGCCAAGCCCACCCTTAACCATGTCCACAAGTGCCACATCTACGTGTTTTTGAAATGCTGCCACAGATGGGGATGCCACCACTGCCCTGGACAGATCAACGAAGTCAGTAGATAAAAACAGGGACATCGTGTATTGGTTACTGCCCTAGGCAAAACAGGCTCGACTTGGGGAAAATTAGTTGAACTTACTGACAAATAGAAGCTGGATGGCGAGAGGCAAAACCAAAAGAAACCCAACCACCTTCCCCTCAAAAAAACAGAACAAAACCCCCAAAATGCTTTCCCCCCCGACTTCTTTTCTTTCTCTAATTGATGTCTTCAGTCCTTCACCTCTAACTTCTGTCTACTCAGGCCGGCCCCGGCTCCTCCGACGGCTTCGGTGCCCTCAGCTGCCGGGGGGCGGCGGGAACCGGCGGTGTCCGGCAAGGGGCAGCCCCTGTCCTCATGGAGACCCCCTCACAGCGACCCCTCACAGCTCCTTCCCCTCAGAGACCCCCTCACAGCGACCCCTCACAGCTCCCTCCCCTCAGACACCCTCTCACAGCGACTCCTCACAACTCCCTCCCCACAGAGACCCCTCACAGCTCCCTCCCCTCAAAGATCCCACCACAGAGACCTACCTTAAAAACCCCCTCACAGTGACCCCTCACAGCTCCTTCCCCTCAGAGACCCCTTACAGCTCCTTCCCCTCACAGTGACCCCCTCACAGAGACCTCTCCTCAAAGACCCCACCACCCCGTCCCAGCGCTGGGCATGGCCACTTCACAGACATGAACCCAAAGAGAAAGCGAAATAACCGCGCTTCTGTGTTCTCCCCGCCCTGTGGGGAGGAGCTGTGGGTGTCTATGAACAGACTAAAGCTCTGTTGGTTTTGGAAATGCTGCAGAATTATTGTTAGTGCTAAATGCCACAGAAGTGTCTTCTGGCCTGGAAGTAAGCACGGCCTTTCTGGGCTGGATGGCACCAGCAATCCATTTGTGGCAAACCAGGTTGGTCCATAGGATCAGACATTACAGCAGGGGACAAGGTAGAGGAAATGGGTATGAATAAGGTAGAGGTGATGAGTTTGCATCTTACTCTCAAAGAAATTAGTGCAATGCAGAGAGAAATGTGCAGTTTATGAAAGCAAGCAAATCAGTAACGCGCAGCTTGTGAATTTTGCAAGTTCACAACAAGAACTCTACTGAGCAATGGTGTATTTCCCACACCAAAGCTTACATTGAGCATGTGGCAGTGCAGATATTCACCGCTCCCTGACACAAAACTCACCTTCAGCATCCCAACAGGCCAGGTGTCAGCAGGATTAAACAAAACAAGCAGGCTCAGTGTCACCCTAGAGGTAGTAAATTCTAAAGTTACAGGTGTAAACCCTTCCATTTTAAAGGACATTTCTTTATGTGTCAAATACCCCTTATTTGCAGTGTGATTCATAGTTGAAAATCCTTGAGGGACTTGGACATGGGCCCAGAGCAATTGGGAAGACAAATACTAGTGTGAGAGCAGTAATGGAAGCAATCCTGGCATCATGACTCCCTGGAGCCTGCAAAACTCATGTAGATTTGATTTCTTCAGAGGAACTTGGTGTGACACCTTTCAATTTGACTGAGGCAGGCGTTTTTCATAGAAAATCGGGTACGTTGCAGACATTGACAGCCAGTGGCATCACCCTGGAACTTACAGTGGTAAGTACCT